GGATTCTTCATGTTTATAGATTTCAAAATCATAAACTTAGATTGTACTTTCTGGAACCTTTTTGAGGCATGCTTTAGAGTATGTTAGGCATTACTGAACTTAGAAGTACAGCGCTCAGTAAGACAAGACCCGTCCTCAGAATGCCAGTCAGTGAAGCTAACGTGTCTATAATGTTGAGATACTAATAATCCAAGTGAAGACCTGCTTTGAAAGTACTGATAAATTAACTGCTTGCTGTCAAGTCAAGGGCAAATCAGAACCTAGTCTGGAATAAGAGCGGTGTGTTTGTAGTTAGAGAAATGACCTCTGACCTGCCTCTTGCCACAGACCTTTATACTCCCCCTCTGTGTCTGCCACCTGGAGTGCTGTTCCCACCCACAAGCCAGCACCTCCAGCCTAACTGGATTCTTTCTCCTTCAGATCTCGGCTCAAATGTCTTAGCTCACAGAAACCTTCCCGTAGTTGTCCAAGCTAAATTAGTTACACCCAACAGTGACTCTTTGTAATCTGTTTTGCTTTTTCTCTTTTTTTCAATGAATTGCTTAATGTCTGTCCACTGTTAGATTGTGAGTTCCCTAAGAGCGTGATTGTGTGTTATCTGTCATTGTATACCCACATAGTAGTGCCTCATGATTGATTGAACAGATGCCCATCACGTGCCAGGTAATGCACCAACATTTTGCTAATACTCTATTGCTTGGTCTTCAAAACAGTCCTCTGTGCTGTGTATTATTGTAACTGCCTTAAAGATGAGAAAATTAGACTCTAAAAATTATACAGCGATCCATGATCTCATAGCTAAGTATATAGTTTGCCATTAATAATGGCAAAGAATTTATGTATGTGCTGCCGAAGCAAGCACTAATAATGGCAAAGAATTTGAACTCATTTTATGGTAACTTCCAAATGTTACCTGGTGATTTTTACAAGTCTGTGTTACTTTACTGACATTTCCAGTAGGGTGCTGTATAGTTCTGGATCAAGAAAAAGAAAAGCAAAAGGTTGAGATCAGAGTTTTAGGTGGAGAATGTCTATAGAGACCAAAACATCTTGTCAATGTGAGAAATAGGGATTAAAACTGGGAGGCAGTTTGTGCAGAGGCACATGTTTGGTAGTCTGAAAGCTGGGTCTCCCAGGTCCCAGTGTGGCAGTAACATGCTACGACATTTCCATTCAATTTGCTGTACATTTTTATGTACTCTTTCAGACTCCTGATCCCCAAAAGATTATATTCTTCTGCTATACTTGGTAATTAAGTAATTGCTTTAGCTGAAGCTAACTAGGTGAAGTCTTTACAGGGGTAGTTTCCAGACTCCTAACTTCCCCTGGTGCTTCGACTTTTCTATTTCATGACCTTATTTGACTGTCTCACTGACTTCATATGGTAAGTGATAAGCAGTTATTATAATAAATCTCCATCTTGGGGCTGGTGCAGCAGTTCAGAGGCTAATTCATCTTGCAGATGGTAAAGAGGTCCAGGGAGAGTAAAGACGTTGCCTGAGACCACACAGTGCTGTAAGGTCAAGATGGACTATCGTCACATCAGCAACTGTGGCCAGCACCGTCTATTTCTGTAAAAGCTTTACTGGAAAACAGCCACAGCCATTCCTTTATGCATTGCTCTTGACTGTTTTCATCTACAACAGGGTTTAGTATTCACAAAACACCTTATGGACCACAAGAATTTTGCTCTGTTCATTTGCAGACAAGTTTGCCAGTTCCTACTGGAGACTGTTGGCGCTGGCACTAGGTCCTGGTTCTTCCCACCCAGGGGAGGGCAGAGCACATACTGACTTCTCAGCTGTCCTTGTCTTCACATTTCGTAGGAGCATCATCCCCGTCTCACCCATGGAACAGATCATCTAAACTGCAGCCTGCAAAGAATCCGTGCCAGTTTTTCTGGGCAAAACATGCAAACCTCCAAAGTCAAGAATTACTGCTACAGACTAAATATGTCATGAAGTTGTAAAAACAGATACCATCCAGCTTACCTTAATGGCAACTGGGCTCGACTACATAGTGAGCACAGTTTATAACACTGTCCCCTGGAGCTTTGTAACCAACCTAACATTCTGTATTAAGTGTTTTAGACCCTAAAACTAGAGTGAAAAACCTATACAGTGGTTGAAATATTCCCCGTGCCAGGAACATCTAGATGGTCTGGAAACATATTAGAAATGTAGATCCCCTGGCTCTTTCCATATCCATGAGGTTGGTAACTTGAGGATAGGGCTTCACTCTGCTTTTTAACTAGACCAACACAGGTTTCTTACGTATATTAAAGCTGAAAACCTCAGTGGGAGCTTAGAATTTGCATTTCTTGCAAAAAACTAGATAATACTGGTGCTCAAACACTAGATACTAGAACAAGGAAAATAGTTTTTGAGTTGATAAGATCCTGTTGAGGCCAAAGCCGGGAACCAGGATTCCATCTGATTCTTCCACATGAATATCAAGAACCTAAGAGCTGGGCCTGGCATGGTAGCCTAATGGCTAAAGTCCTCACCTTGCACACTCCAGGATCCCATATAGGCACCAATTCTAATCCCTGCTGCTCCTCTTCCCTGCTTGTGACCTTGGGGAAGCAGTGGAGGACGTCCCAAAGCCTTGGGACCCTGTGCCCATGTGGGAGACCAGAAGTTCCTGGCTACTGGCTTCGGCTTGGCTCAGCTCTGGCCATCGCTGCTGCTTGGGGAGTGAACCAGTGGACAGAAGATCTTCTCTCCCTGTATCTTCTCCTCTCTGTATATCTGCCTTTCCAATAAAAATAAATTTTTAGAAAGAAGAACCCATGTTCTTGGGCTGTCATTTGCCTCTCAAGTGGATAAGCAGGAAGCTGAATTGGAAGCAGAGCAGCTGAGGCTTGAGCATTCTACACTGTATGTCACAAGTGGAATAAGCCAGTCATCACATCACCTGCCCCAGAGCTCAAAGAAAAAAAAAAGTAAAGGTGTCAATGAAACCTGCATATGCGTTCAGAATCCCACTCCTTCTCTGGAGAGAACTACCAATCTGATTGGTGTGCATGCCTATTTTACATTTTGCTTTCTATGTAATTATCCGTTTTCTGTTTAATAGCACAGGTTTGTTCCATGTTTTACTCTTATTACACCATGCTGCAGTAACCTCGTGCGCTTTTGTTCAGGAGGTTTCTGTAGTACATGCATGGAGAGGAATAGCTGCGAATTGAGATGGGCCTCAAAAGCTTTACTAGACCTTCCTGAGAGCTCTGTTGTGCTTCTCTGTTTACTCAGCCGCCTGCAAGATTTAAGAGCCCCGTTTATGTATATTCGTATCACAATGTGATGTTTTCACGCTTTATCGTTTTTGTTGATCAGAGACATTAAATGCCCTCTAGTTTTTAAAATATGTAACTTCCCACGTTGTAGGGAGCTTGAACTAGTTTTCACGTTTTGTTAATTTCAGATATCTTTTGTGAAAGACTTGTGATATCTGTGTGTATGAGGATAGATTTTGTTACTTTTATTGGAAAGGCATATTTGCAGAGAGGAAAAGAGATAGAAAGAAAGATCTTCTATCTGGGGTTCACTTCCCAGATGGCCACAATGACTGAAATTGAGCCAGTCTGAAACCAGGAGCCTGTTTTGAGTCTCCCACACAGGTGCAGGGTCCCAAGGCCCTGGTCCATCCTTTCCCAGACCACGAGCAGGGAGCTGGATTGTAAGTAGAACAGCTGGAACATGAACTGCCACCCATATGGGATGCCTGTGCTTGCAGGTAGAGGATTAGCCAGTTGAGCCATCCTGTTGGCCCCTGTTCTTTGCCTTTTTACATGGATTTACAGATGGTTTTTATGCAAGTTTAGTTAATACTTTAAATCACTTATGTTTCAACTGCTTTATAGCAGTTTAGCTAAAATTTTATTTTTGATTTTTTATTTTGTTGACAAAACTTATTTATTTATTGAAAGGCAAGGTTAGAGAGAAAGGCACAAAGAGAGGGAGATCTTCTGTTCATGTGTTCACTCTCCAGATGGCAGCAACAGCCAGAACTGGGCTGGTCCAAAGCCCAGAGCCAGGAACTCCTAGGTCTCCCACAGGGTTCGAGGGCCCAAAGGCTTAGTTCCTCCTCTGCTGCATTTCTAGGCCATTAGCTGGGAGCTGGATTAGAAGTAGGACCCCTGGGGCTCGAACCATGCCCAGATGGGATGCCGGCACCACAGGCAGGGCCTTAGCCTGTTATGCTATGGCATTGACATCCTCCACCCCCAAAACTTGGAAATTTAATCTCAACTTTTTTCCTTTAAGATTTATTGTTTTTGTATCTTAGTTAAGAAAATCTTCCCCTGACTTGGATCTTAGATTCTTTATTTTTATCTGAAGTTTTAAATCTTTACCCATTTAGATCTATCTGGTTATTGCTTTCACATGTGATTTGAGCTTGGGACCTGGGCTCATTTTCTCCAGCTCCGCTCTTTATCACCGAGTTGTAATGCCATCTTTATTATACACTACAGTTTTTCTGTACACATGGGTCAGTTTCTGGGCACTTTGATCTGTTCTCGTGTTACTATCATTTTATATAAATACATATCTGTGGTGATGCCTTACTGTGACCTTTCTTAAAACTGTTTTTCATCATTCTTCAAGATAAATTTAAATAATGTCTTTTCCAATTCCATGGAAAACCTTGTTTGCAATTTTGATTGACATTTCATTGGATTGTTGATTACTTTAAAAGTGAATTAGCTGTCTTAATTCATGAACATGGTATATTTCTTTTGTTCATATCTTACTGGCTTTCACTGTTTAATTTTCACAAGAACCTTAGGCATATTTTATTAGCCATATTTCTAGACATGTTGCTTTTGTGAATAATAGTTTTCTGATTGGTTATTTCTGGCACAAAAACACCTTTATTGGGCTTTATAAACATGTCGTTTTTCTATTTTTCCAGTAGATGGCAGTAATATACATTAAGAATCTTCAGTGGTGTCTTGTATTTGATTTGTATGTTTTACCTTTGCTTGACCCATTTAGGAAGATAAAAAGAAGCGAGATCGAGATCGTGTGGAGACTGAGGTGGAGAAAGACCTCCAGTGCCACACCCCTGGGAGGTTAGAGCTGCCGCCTGAGAAGCCGCTCGTGAGCTCCTTAGCCAAGCAGGAAGGTGAGGGTCCTGTGAGCTCTGTCCTGACTGAGGAAGCAGAGACTGCCGCAGCCCTGCAGCTCAGTGCTTTGCAACTGGCCTGGTTGCTACGTTACTTTTCTTACTATGTAAGGGCTGAAGCCTCAATTTTAAATTGGCACTCTTAATTTTCATATTAAAAAATGAAGGCATGGAATTTGTAACAGAAAACAGCTGAGTAGAATTCTCTCAGAATCTTTCCTTTTAAAATAACCCTTTTTATTCATTGTTTGTTTAGAAGTAGAACAGACACCTCTTCAAGAAGCTTTGAATCAACTGATGAGACAATTGCAGAGGTAAGTGCTTTTCTAACATTTGATAAATGTGTAGAAGCCAATGTATTTCTGTAATTAGGCCATGTTTTGCAGTCAGAGCCAGAATTTGTCTGATTTTCCTTTAAAGGAGGAAGGTTTTTTTTTTGTGTGTGTGTGTGTGTATGTGTGTGTATAGTTATTTATTTGAAGGTCAAGGTTACAGAGACGGAGGGAAAGCTTCCATCTGCCGATTCACTCTCCAGATGGCCACAACGGCCAGCACTGGGCCAACGCCAGGTCTCCCACATGGTAGCAGGGACCAAAGCCTGGGACCACATTCCATTGTTTTTTCTAGGCCGTTAGCAGGGAGCTGCATTGTAAGCAGAGCAACCAGGACACAAACCAGCATGCACATGGGATAGGGGCACCACAGGTGACTGTTTCAGCTGCCACAGCACCAATCCCAAATTGTTAAGAGAGAAAAGTATACCACGGTCTTTATTGCAACAATTATTTTTTTGTTTGTTTGTTTGAAAAGCAGAAATACTCCATCTGCTAATTTATTCTCCAAATGGTCATAATGGTCTGGGCTGGGCCAAGCCAAAGAAATATGAAATACTAATATCTCCAAGATCTATACATGGGTCACTTAATTTAGGTTATTTGTTTTGCTTCATTTTTCATTAATAGGGGGTGCTGTTAATTAGGTCACATGCTTAAACAGAGTCTCTGTAAAACAAGATAGTGTTTAAAACATGTTAATCTTAATACATAGCACTGTTCTTCAAAACCACTTTACTTTTCTGTGCGAAGCGTGCTACGAATTGTCTGTTTGTGTGGAGAGTTTCAGCGTGCTACGAATTGTCTGTCTGTGTGGAGAGTTTCAGCGTGCTACGAATTGTCTGTTCATGTGGAGAGTTTCAGCGTGCTACGAATTGTCTGTTCGTGTGGAGAGTTTCGTCTGCCTTCAGTAGATGTGTCTGTGATGGGAATAGAATGTAACGTTACCTTTGTGTGTCTTCACAGAAAAGACCCAAGTGCTTTCTTTTCATTTCCTGTGACTGATTTTATTGCTCCCGGCTACTCCATGATCATTAAACACCCCATGGATTTTAGTACAATGAAAGAAAAGATCAAGAACAATGACTACCAGTCCATAGAAGAACTGAAGGTGATTGTGTTTGTTTATGTCTTCATTGGGGATGTAGACAGAATGGTGATACAAAGTAACATTATTTATTAAACTGAGGGTCAAATTCTTAGATTACTTATGGCTGAAATCTGCATATCTAGAATCTTTCTTGCATATCTTCCTTGCATATCAGAATCTTCCTTGCATATCAGAATCTTTCTGGTCTTCCATTTTGCAAACACTTTGATTTTTAAAATATTTGTCTTTTCTGCTTTAGGAAACTTTTTATGACCTTGGTTATTGAAACAAAAGAAATGAGCCCTTACTATTTTTTGATTATGGAAATGTTATTGAAATTTTTAGGTTTATGTGTTTTACAATGTATTTTTCCCAAGTTTTAAAATGAACTGATATATTTCAACTTTAGACCAATACAAGTAAAATTGATATTTTAATGTAAATTGAAATAAGATCATTTCCTTTTCCAATTCTAAAAGTATAAGGTGTGCATTTTTTTAAGATTAACTTTTTTGCCTGAGTTACAGAGAAAGAGGGAGAGACAGAGATCTTCCATCCACTTTTTTATTCCCCACATAGGCGTAGCAGCCAGAGCTGGACTGGTCCAAAGCTGGGAACTGGGAGTTTATGCTGAGTCTGACGTGGGTACAGGGGCCCAAGCAGTTGGGCTATCTGCTGCTGCTTTCCCAGGCACATAATCAAGGATCTGGATTGGCAATGGAACAGGCAGGCCTTGAATCGGTGCCTGCATGTGCTGCCAACGCTATAGGGAGAGGATTAGCTTGCTGTACTACCTTGGAAACCCCCAAGCGTATGTATCTTTTAAAGTGGAGAAGAAATTGCCTTGTCCAGGGTACTGAAGGTTTAGTTAATGTTTCTGGTTTTATAAATCAGTTCTTCCTCATATTTGTTAAGTGTATTTTCTTCAACTTTAAAAAGGTAAATTAAAAGCCATAAAGCCATAAAGATAATATTATCTATCTAATGTTATGATTGAAGGGTTTGATTTTTGTGGGATTTCTTGCATCTTTCTGTTGTCTTGGCTTATGTTCATTTTAGTGGTGCATATTTTAATCTTCCAAAGAAAAGGAACCATATTTGAAACTTGCTTTACACAAAATCACCCAAATGTAATTGAATTTGGTAAAATTTTGTCTTAATTTTTCCACATTAACATGTGGTCACTGGTCACCTGACTTAAGGGTTACCTTAAGTCTTACCAAAGGAAAATAAAGTGCCTCACATCATCTTGGGACAAGTATTAGGCACAGCAGTTGAGGCACCACTTAGGATGTCCTGCTCTTGCATTCCAGTGCTTGGGTGCATGCATTAGTAGCTCCTCTCCCACTTCTACCTTCCTGATAATGCCACAGGTGATGACGCAGGGAGCTTGACCCCTGCCCCCTGTGTAGGAGACTGGCATTGAATGTCCACCTCCCAGCTTTGGCCAGGCCTAACCCTGGTTGCTCTGGACACTCTGGGAGTGTACCAGCAGATAGGAGCTCTTTCCGTGTCTTTCAGGCCAATAAACTTTGTAAAAGATTTTCTGATTGATTGATTGATTTGGGAGGCAAGAGCAGCAGGCAGAGACAGAGCTCTTCTGTCTGCTGATTCATTCCCCAGATGGCCACCACAGCAAGACTGGACCAGGCCAAAACTGGGAGCCAGGAAGCCCCCTCCCTCCCCTGTGGGTAGGTGACAAAGATCCAAGCACTCCGCCCTCCCAGGAGCATCAGCAGGAGCTGGATCAGAAGTAGCATAGCTAGACCGAGCTGGCACCCTGCCGTGGGATGCAGGGTCACGCACTACCAAAGCACCACAACTTTTAAAAACATATTGTCTTAGGTGATCTCTTTTTTTATTTACATGTTGAGCTGAGATTTCTGAAGAACACCAGTGTTCAATTGTATTAGTTACTATTATATATAAGTAACATCCTACTTGCTCTGAAAAACTTGAATTACATTCTCTCTTAGTGAAAGAAATGGGTGTTTTTCCCAACTTTTCAACTGTTTATGTCAGTATATTTTGGATCTTACTGATGCTTAATAAAAAAGAATGTGATCTTTTCTGTTATTTTTGTGAATGTTTTTCTGCTGATCTTTCTCTTACAATAACAAGAGAATAGGAGTATGTCCCCAGCATGTTTTTGAGCAGGTTAAGGTTCTTAACTCTTTGGAGTTTTATACATTTCTGCAATTGAGAGCTCAGCAACCTAAAATAATAATAACTTGTCAGTTGAAATCAAAAATATATACTGTATGGATAAAGTTGTACAAAAAGATTGAGCTTTTTGAAGGACAAGTAACATTATACAAAGTTCAGGGCTCAGGAAAGGCTCACACTTGACAGTTAAAATGTAAGGAATCTAGATTTCCCTGGCCTGTCAGATCACTGATCATGACAATAAACCAGGACTCTAGGCAGTCCTGTCCTGCCTGCCACACCCTGAGCATGTGGGTGCCCTCCCTGTGGGGCTCCCTCCCCACTAGGTTCACAGTTAGTGTTTCCTCATGGAATGGAAGCTTTTCAGAGTACCTAAAGCAAAGTACCTGGAGCCGGCCGGGATCCTTTGTTTCTCTTATTAGTGAGGTTTTGGCAAAACTGGGAACCTGCTGAAATCACATGAATAGGAATTGTTTCCATCCCTCCATGTTTATACTCAAGTAGTTCCATAGCTTTCAGAGACCTGGGACCCGGCCGAGTCCTGATGGGTTACAGATAGCTGGTCCTCGGGATTCACGTATACTTCATCCTCTTTAAAGTCAATACAAATTTACTGTGACTCGAATCTGTTAACTCAAACTCATTCACCAAATGACTTCAACTGCTACAGCTGGGCCAGGCCAGTGCCAGGAGCATCTTATTGCTTTCCCATGTGGGTTAGAGGCCCAAGCGCTTGGGCTGCTGCTTTCCCAGTTGCACTAGTAGGAAGCTGTGTCAGAAGTGGAGCAGCTGGGACTTGAACTAGCTCCCATATGAAATGCCAGTCACTGCAGGCAGTGACTTAACTTGCTATGCCACGACACTGTCCCTAAAGATTTGTTTGTTTGTTTGTTTGTTTCCTTTATTTGAAAACCAGAGTTAGAGAAATCATCTTTCTGCTGGTCTACTCCCCAAATGGCCACAACAGCTGGGCATGCCCAGTCCAAAGTCAGAAGCTTGGAATTCCATCTGGGCTCCTATGTTGGTGACAGGGGTCCAAATGCTTGGGTTGTCTTCTGCCACTTTTCTCAGGTGCACTAGCAGGGAATTAGATCAAAATGGGACAGCCAGGACTTGAACTGGCCAGTGCTTATATGAGATGCTGTCATCACAGGGGCAACCTAACCCTGGAAGCACACCTCTGGCCCCTCTTTTTTCTTTAGTTTTTACCATTTTAACTTACTAAGGCCTTGGCACAGCTTTTGTTCATTGGTGTAAAATTTACTTAACCATGAAAAAATGCAGTGAGCTAAAGTACTCCAGCACGTGTACACAAATGTTAAAATTTAAGCCAGTTTTGTTTATCTGCTCCAGTGATATCTTTTAATTCCTTGAAGTTATATGGTTAATTTCATAGCGGCGTGATTTTATAGCATTCGGCAAGTCTTGATAATATCTAAACCATGGAAATTACTGTTTATGTTTTAACATTTTTGCCCAGTTAATTTGGGTTTCGCCAAAGTTGTAAACCTAACATTATTCCAAGTGTTCATTTAGAATATGAACTAGAATATTTCATTTTTAAGTGGGAAATGAAAACTAGGATTAGAGATCAGCATCGTGACACACAAATTAGGCCTCTGTCCACAACCCTAGCATCCTGAATGGTCACTGGTTCATTCAGGTCCCAGCTGCTCTACCTCTAGATCCCTGCTGATGCCTTGGGAAACGAGTGAAAGATGACCCAAGTGCCTGGGCCCCTTCACGGGAGAGTTCCAAAAAAAACTAGCCCAGGCTGTTGCAGTCATTTTAATTATGTGACTTACTCAGCTAAGATTACTAAATAAGATATATGAGTACTTTCTTCTATTTCTTTTTATGTTGCAATGAGATTACACCAAAGAAACCTATTTAGCAATTTCATTCTAGCATCTAAAGTTTGTATACAAGTGCGATAAAATTAAGTTTGGGAAAGAATGTTGTAACATTATTAAGTAAATTTAGCAGTGTTTGTTTTATTGGTGAGTCTTAAAACTTATCAAATTGCTATTAGTGTTTTAAAAATCTTAAAAGATAGGAATGTTATTTAAAAAAAATATTTTTGAGAGGGCGGTCCTATATGGTTTCAAGCAGACTGTGGGAACTTTGTTTTGTTTTGATGCATTTTCCTTCTTAATATTTTCTTTGCAGGATAACTTCAAACTGATGTGTACTAATGCCATGATTTATAACAAGCCAGAGACCATTTATTATAAAGCTGCAAAGAAGCTATTACACTCAGGGATGAAAATTCTTAGTCAGGTAAATCTTTAGAAACTCCATCATAAGTAATAATTATCATAAAATCCATATACCTGTGTGTGTTGGTCATAGTAATACAGATCTATGATGATACTGATTTTATTAGCAGACCATATTAAAGAAGGAAATCCTAGATGGAAATTTGATCAAATTAAGATAGGAATGTTATCATTTGGAATTAGTACAAATGAATACATTTTCCCATGATTGATACTGTAAAGGTTCTTTAATTAATATTGACCGGGTAGATTGAATTTTGTGAAAAGCAATATTATTTTGCTGTGGAAACATCAAGTTTTGGGATATGACTGCATGAATTATAAGACTGTGGAGAAGAGCTCTGTTTGCCTTTGTTGTGTTGAGATGTAAGCTTCTGAGGAGCCCTGTGTTCCAAGTATAGAACACCTCCAAGGGAAAGAGAGGTGACATACAATGACCAGCTCAAGGCTGGCCTCCTCTTGGAGGGTGAGGGTGTGCACAGGAAGCGTTTCAGGTGGGAGTATGTGCAGCGGCCCAGACATCTCGCCATGGGAGAGCTACAGTGCTAGTGTGGGCGGGGGCAGAACATGGCATAAGTGTCATCCGGCACAGGGCATGCAGGGTGGATGGCACTGGATGCGGAGCACCTGCTGGAGAACAGGAGGACTCGCGGATCACGTCTTTGGAAGTGTGAGTGAGGGGAGCCTCACAGTAAGAGACTAATTCAAGGAGACTCATTGAGGGTGGTGCTGGTGACGTGATAGGGCAGGCAGTGAGCTTACTTTCACTAATTTGAAGACCTTGGCCAAGACTTACAAACCACCCTAGGCCTCTGTATTCTTGTCTATAAAGAAGAGGGTTTAACTAGTTATCTCATTAATTCTCTAATTATAAATAAGAGAATGGAGGGAAACAATGTAAAACAATAACAAGAGGGATTTTGTGCAATACAAATGAGTAAGTGTGAGAGACTTAGGCGAAAGGAATTGGAATAAAGAATTTAAGGGCCCGACATGGTAGCCTAGTGGCTAAAGTCCTTGCCTTGCATCCTCTGGGATCCATTATGGGTGCCGATTCATGTCCCGGTGACGCTGCTTCCCATCCAGTTCCCTGCTGGTGGCCTAGGAAAGCAATTTGAGCATAGCCCAAAACCTTGGGACCCTGTACCTGCATGGGAGACCCAGAAGAGGCTCTGGGCTCCTGGCTTTAGATCAGCACAGCTCCAGACCTTGTGGCCGCTTGGGGAGTGAACCACCAGACAGATCTTCCTGTCTCTTCTCCTCTCTGTATATCTGACTTCCCAATAAAAATAAATAAATCTTTTTTTAAAAAAGGAATAATTTAAGCTCAGAGATCCTCAGAAGGTAGTATGGTGAGGTGGGTCATGCACAGTTACCCTGGGTTTCCTGGTTCCTGTAGTAATCAGCTGTACTACAGTTTTTTATTTTAAAAAGTACTTTGACGTGCAGAAGTCTGGTGCCCAGTTCAGAGAGATTCTTGGGTCCACACGATTGGAGAAAGAAAAGCCTTTGGATTGATGGTGATTGTTGTACTCCCAATATTTAGACAGCATCAGTTCCCTCCCTTTCCTGAAGACTTGGGAAACTTGTGGTATAAGCTAGTTACCCTTCTAAAGCCACACGCACAGGGGAAGGAGGAATGTGAAGTATTGGCTCCACGCTTTGTGGGAAGAATCTCAAAATCTAGAACCAGGCCATATTTTAGAGTTAATACTTGATAACATTTGTTGGCTTTAACTGGACTAAAATTGCATTCAGTAAATGCCATCTTTACTCACTCCCAAATGTGTACGTTGCATGGTGAGTGTCTTAATTTTTAGATAATTTTTGGGCACTACTTTATCTTCTTTATTTAAATGTTTTTCTTTATTTATTAATGTGGTTGGTAACACACAAAGGATTTCATTAGCTCTTGAGTTTCCTAGGGGTGGGTGTGTAGGAAGCCCAGAAGAAAAGGTTGTTCCTCCACTTTCCCTCTCTGTGCTGTCCTCCTGCCGAGGAGCCCTGCCCATCCTGTGCTGCAGCTTCCTGTCGCTCTTCTCTCCACCCTACATGGGAGGAATCCTCGCCGCAGAGATTGTAAAGTTTTTAAATTTAATCCTTCTGCAGAAACTCTACTAAAAACAGTGCTCCCAAGAGGGCCCCTCTTGTCCTTTTCCAAGATAACTGGTTTTGAATGTTCACTGAAGAGAGATTAGAGAGTATCCATTTATAATTTTTAAATTTTTTTTTCAGTTACACCTAAATAGCAACTCTTGTTAAGTGTGTTATCTTTATAAAGAATGAACAGATGGAGAATAATTCTTTTGATCTCCTCAATAAATAGTTCAGCAGAATGCTGCCATTATATAATACAAACAAAGTAATACAAACAGTGCTATTTGTAGCATAGTTGGCTTTGAAATCAGACCAGTCAAGGTTCAAGCCCTGGCTGTGTTGTTTCTAAGCCTCATGACTTTAGGCTGTGTAACCTTTCTCAGCCCTCTTCCTGTCCCATAAAATGGGGATAAGAATAGTACTTACCTCACAGACTTCTCTCAGGCCTTCAGTAAATGTTAGCTATATTAGCAGCAAAAAATAACCTTTTTGGTCACTTAATATTGTAAAATTGAGGGTCACTAAGCAGCATGCCAATTGGAAGCAGTCACCAGAAACAAAGACAAAGAAAATTCTTCTGAAGTAGTATTAAACCTGGCTCTTTCCTGTGACTTAGTTAGAACATTCTTCCAATTAAATTGTTTTGATTTTGTGCATTAAAATCACAGGATATTCTTAACATGGAATCTGCTTTTAAAATTCTAAAATGGAAATAGAAGGTATACAGAGAACGTAGGGATCTAAGCCATGATGTTCAGCCATGTTGTTGAGTACCTGCTGTGTGTCAAGCCTTGTTCTAGGTACTAGGGATAGAGAGCTGAACAGGATAAAATCTGAATGGCAAACACAGAGGGACCTGTGGCCAATTACAGAGGTCATCAGACTCACTAATGCTTTTATAAAGTTTGTAGTTCAGTAAGAGATGCTTCCAAAAAAACCAAGTTGCTTTGTTGTTGTTGTTGTTGTTATAATGATGGTGTTCAGTTTGGCAACAATACAGAAATATTTGAACACAAGTATAAATTGACATGGCTTTTCTGGATGGCAGTTTGGCAGGAAGTATCAAAAGGCTCAAAATTAGTCCCTTCATTTATTTTAAAGGCAGTTTTCAGAAAAAGAGCTTCCATCCACTGCTTAACTCCCCAAATGGCTGCAATGGCCAGAGCTGAGCCAGCCTCAAATCAGGAGCCAGCGGTTTCTTCTAGGTCTCCCATGTGGGTACAGGGTTCCAAGGCACTTGGGGCATCTTCCACTGCCTTCCCAGCTGCATAAGCAGAGCCCTCAATCAGAAGTGAAGCATCTGGGTCTCTAACCAGCATACATATGTGATACCAGGGTCAGCACTGCAGGCAGAGGCCTATCCTACTATGTTACAATGCTGGCCCTCATGTTTCTACTTCTAAGAATTTATCCTGGGCCCGATGTAGTAGCCTATTGGCTAAAATCCTCACCCTACATTTGCTGGGATCCCATGTGGTTGTCGGCTCATGTCCCAGCTGTTCCACTCCCCATCCAGTTCCCTGCTTGTGGCCTGGGAAAGCAGTCAAGGATGGCCCAAAGCCTTGGGACCCTACACACTTGTGGGAAACCTGAAAGAGGCTCCTGGCTTCAGATTGGCTTGACTCCTGCCATTGCGGCCACTTTAGGAGTGGACCTATGGGTGGAAGATCTTTCTCTCTGTATCTCCTTCTCTCTGTAAATCTGACTTTCCAATAAAAATGAATCTTCAAAAAAAGATCTTCAAAACATTTTAGTAACAGTATTTAATTCTTGCAAGCACCATGATTTAATAAATAACTTATGATTAGACATTTAGATTTACAAATCTCCACTGTTATAAATGACAGTCCCATAAACATCACTGTAAATAAATTTCCTCAGGAATCTTCTGTCTCCTCAGGATAATTTTTTTAAAAAGATTTACTTATTTTTATTGGAAAGTCAGATTTACAGAGAGCAAGATCTTCCATCCTCCGGTTCACTCCCCAAATGGCTGCAATAATTGGCAATGAGCAGATCCAAAGCCAGGAGCCAGGAGCCTTTTCTTGGTCTCCCACGCAGGTGCAGGGTCCCAAGGCCTTGGGCGGTCCTCAAGTGCCCTCCCAGGCCACAAGGAGCTGGATGAGAAGTGAAGCAGCCGGGGCATGAACTGACACCTATATGGGATCCCGGACAGTGCAAGGCAAGGACTTTACCCACTAGGCTACCATGTCACTGCCTTAAGATGTTAATGATATAGAGGGAAAGTAATTACGTTCTACTGGAAAAAAATATTTTTTTACCAAATACTATACAGTTCAATTTGTTAAACATACGATGTGTGGAAAAAAGTGATCATGATAAACTTGTCAACATTGTTCCCCTCTGAATATCAAGATTTTTGTTTTCTCTATATCTACCTTCATTCTTGATTACAGTAAAGTATCTTGACTTATTGTTTCTACATTTATATGAAAGTAAGAAGAGAGTAGGTTTGTAGCACAGTGATTAAGTTGCCACTTGATGTCCCTACAAATCCAGTTCCTGCTAATGTCCGTGCAGGAGCCAGCAGGTAACACTGGAAGATGGACCTGGCTTGGGTGTGGCCCAGCCACAGCTATTGCAGGAATTTGGGAAGTGAGCTACTATCTCTTCCCTTCCTTTCAGACAAGCAGAATAAGTAAATAACTTGTTAAAAAGCCAGCAATACTGTCTGAGTTCTGAAGACCCAAGTCTGCTACTGGATAGAACCCAACGGGATGAGGAAAGGCCTGTCGTGAGTGACAAGAGGCCTGGTTTTAGTCACGGTTTTGCGCCGAGTGAGTCACAGTGTTCTTGGGCTGCGTTGTTCTTGTTTAAATGACCTCTGCTCCTTTCCAGGTCAAGTTTCTGTTAATCCACAAAAGTCTTCCCTGCTGATGCTGTGCAGCCTGCCCTCCCTGTTTTAGCCAGTGTCAACTTGTCCCCAGGAGGAGTGACTTTCTCAAATATTAGCTTGAAACCTCAAGCCCTTTAACCACACAGCACACCACTGCAGTGGGAAATAAAGCACGTTTCACAAAACAGAAGCGAGACTTCCTTAGTAAGAACATCATGCGCTCTGAGAAAGGAGTGGTGCTGGTGATGGTGACCCCTTCCAGGCATGCTGTCACAGAGCGAGACTGCCAGTCATGAGTGGTACTGCCCTTCAGAATGTAAAGGTGCCTTGTGTGGCCCAGGTTTTCATGCCCTTAGGAATTTTTTTTTTAAAGATTTTTATTTTTATTATTTTTTTATTGGAAAGGCGGATATACAGAGAGGAGAGACAGAGAGGAAGATCTTCTGTCCGATGATTCACTCCCCAAGTGAGCGCAATGGTCGATGCTATGCCGATCTGAAGCCAGGAGCCCCTTCCGGGTCTCCCACGCTGGTGCAGGGTCCCAAAGCCTTGGGCCGTCCTCGACTGCTCTTCCGGGCCACAGGCAGGGAGCTGGAAGGGAAGCAGGGCTGCCGGGATTAGAACTGGCGCCCATATGGGATCCCTGGCGTGCAAGACGAGGACCTTAACCACTTGCGCCACCACGCCAGGCCCTGCCCTTAGGAATTCTTAAGTTTCAACAAGTAAGCCAGTCTCATAAATAGAAAATTTCAATGCATTATTAAACTAAATTATGCTTTTTAAATTAAAATTTAGTACCTCCAAGGAAGTTCATCTTAATTCATGCTTTCTCTTTCATTAACTTTCTGATGGTGCAATAAAATTGTCAACTGTCTCTTTTTTTTTTTTTCAACTGTCTCTTGTATTGGAAATTAAGTTCTGTGAAGTGAGGGAATATATTGTCCTGGTTTCTAAGTATAACATTCTCATGCATTTAATTGTTAATAGTTAATAGTTGCAGACTTACTGAGAAAAATGCATTACATCTATAAAGTTAATGGCACACATGCAATAAGACTGTTTTGCATATTTTTAGGAAAGAATTCAAAGTCTGAAACAAAGCATAGAGTTCATGGCAGACTTGCAAAAAACTCGAAAGCAAAAAGAAAGAACGGACACATCGCAGGGTGGAGAAGACAGCGGCTGCTGGCCTCGTGAGAGTGAAGATGGTGGAGAGGCCGAAACACAAGCCTTCAGAAGCCCCAATAAGGACAATAAAAAGTAAAGACTCATTGGAATACCAAAGGTTAAACTCTGTTTTCCAAACTGGAAAGGGTGGGCAGTCCCGTCTCGGGGCTGACTTGGGAAGGCTGTGTCCTCGAGTCACTGGCGATGGTTTCCTGACAGGCAAGTCCAGGCGCTGACATGATCACCTTTCCTAAGGCAGTTCTAAGTGCAGTTGTCCACACAAGGCCCGCAAGACAGATTGGAATGTGTATTGCAAAAGTCCTTTTAAAACTAGCAGACTATTTTCAGTGAGTTTATTTAAATAGAAATGTTTGTTTAAGGAAAAAAATGTGTATTCATTCCCTCATTCCACGAAGAAGAAAGGAGTTCAACGTAAGCACAGTTAGAGCTTCTGCTTCAGTAGCCGAGTCATCAGAGACACGTGCGTGTTTTCCACTAGCCGTCAGCTGGCAGGAGCAGGCATGGAGCCCTGGCGCCAGCAGGCAGTGGGCAGCGGCCCGGCGCCTGCTCACACTGCCGCCTGCCAGCCCCGAGGCCCAGCGCCTCGCCAGGCACTTCAGGAGAAGATTGTGGTTAACTGTTTGCATTTCTACTCACAGTGCAAAGAAAATAATACATGTGACACAGTCTTCATGCTGTTTCTGAAATTTAGACATTTGAAGTGCCTATTTAAAAATTTACTTTGAAAAACCAAACTTTAAGGAAACACGTTGTATACTCCTTTCCCTTCAAAATAATATTTAAGGTAGGATTTCTTTTTGTGGCTGTACCCAGAGAAAGCCATTTCAGATGGACTCAGAAGGGAGGGGAGTAACCAGCATGCCAGGTTCTCCTTCCTGCTTGAGCGCCATCAGGGCGCCTCCCAGGGAGTAACAAACAAAATTCTAACTGGGTACAGTATGCTGCGTCTGTCTTCACTCCGGTTGTATTTACACTCAGAATTCCTTTTCCCATTTTCATTTTATTATTTAAGATTTATTTCTTTTTATTGGAAAGGCAGAGAGGAGGAGAGACAGAGAGGAAGCTCCGTCCGATGGTTTACTCCCCAAGTGGCCGCAATGGCTGGAGCTGAGCCAATCTGAAGCCAGGAAACTCTTCTGGGTCTCCCGAATGGGTGCAGGGTCCCAAGGCTTTGGGCCGTCCTCCGCTGCTTTCCAAGGCCACAAAGCAGGGAGCTGGATGGGAAGCGGGGTCACTGGGATTAGAACCAGCACCCATATGGGATCCTGGCACATTCAAGGCGAGGACTTTAACCATTATGCTATCACATCAGGCCCCTATTTATCTTTTCTTCTCTACTTTGTTTTCAGGAAAGACAAAGATACACTTGAAGACAAATTTAAAAACAGCACTTTAGAAAGAGAGCAGGAACAGATTGAGCGCATCGTTAAGGAGTCAGGAGGAAAGCTGACGAGGCGGCTGGCCAACAGTCAGGTGAGGGCGCTTTCCCATCCTTGGCTCGACGTGGGAAGCATGCCGCTGTTGGTTGTGTGCTTTCATCCACATCTGTCCCAGGGCCCATCATCACTCCGATGCAAAACCAGGAATGTGCTTGATGCTGATGTGGGTCATTCATCTTATCCTCTATTGCTAGGCTTTTTAAATGACTAAATTGTTGCAAAATCAGAAAGTGGACCACATATTTTAAGCTTTCAAGAAACTTTTATGTTGCAGTCTTTTGAAATTGCTTAGCATATTAGTTTTAAAATTTTTAAAAGCAGGTGGATTCATATATGACTTGGGGCAAGTCATTTCTTCTCCTTGGCCCCACAGAGCCTCCTTTATAGAGGGTTGAGGGAGAATTAGGTAGTCTCAAACACCCACACAACTCTGAAATTCTGCATTTCCCTTCATCTCCTTTTCTCTAGCCCATCAGCACCTATCTTGTTGAGACAGTTGTGAAAATCAGTGTTTGAGTGTGATGATGTAGGTGCAGAGATAGCTAGAGTTGGGATGGGGAAAGCCGTTTATCCCAATTGAATACTCTGGGTTATTGCAGTGTGAATTTGAAAGAAGGAAACCAGATGGAACAACTACGTTGGGACTTCTCCATCCTGTGGATCCCATTGTTGGAGGTAGGCTCACGGTGAGGCTGCTGAGTAGCAGACGGTACCCCGAGTTGACGCTGTAAAACAGCAGGCCTGTGCTCTTGACAAGCCCATCTGTGTCAGCCACGAGCCATGTGTGTTTTGAGATACCAGCCTAACTCACATCATCCTCAGGTAGGTAGTAAGGACCAAGTCTTCCCTAGAACTCAGAGTCCATTTTCCCACCATTAGCAGAAGCAGAGTTTAGCCCTGGTTTTAAGAGAGACTGTGGTATATCTTCCTCATCAGCTCTCAAAGTATTTCATATCTTCACATAACTTTTTCTGTTTACTGTCCCATATTCCCAGTTTCATCACAAAGATTCATTCCTAGTTTATAGCGGTCACATTTTTAAAGGCTGTTCTTCAGTGTGCCACAAGAATGCCTCTCGTGGATATTAGTTTATCCTTCATGCAGTGAGAGTTCTCATCCTTGTTTGTTTGTTTTTTAAGGCACAGCATGGCCAGAGGTGGGGGGCAGGGGAGGTAAGAAAAGACGTTCCATCTACTGGTTCACTTGCCTCAGATGGCCACAGGTAGGGATGGAGAGGGACGAAGCCTGGAGACAGAAATTCCATTTTGGTCTTTCTCCCACATGGATGGCAGGGACCCAAGCACATGGGCCCTCTTCTGCTGACTTCCTTGGCACATTAGCAGGGAGCTGGATTGGAAGCAGACTAATTTTTTCCCCCATTTTTTGATGTTATTTTAAATTTTATATTCATCTGCAGGAATTCCTTATAATGTGCATGTTAACCCATTTAGATACATAGTTCATAAATATTTTTCTCAGTCCCAAGTGTATCTTTGCACTTCACTGATTGCTTTGTTTTGTTTTGTTTTGTTTATTAATTGCATTATGTGACACAGTTTCATAGGCTCAGAAGCAGAGTAATTAAATCTGAAACTGAGTCATTGTCACTGCACCATGCAACTCATTGTCTTTAACAGAAGAATTCTCCTTCATAGTCTTCTACTAACTTTTGTATTGACTTATCTCTATAATCTTTAACATTAACATTAGAAGATTCACCTTTTTTTTTCTTTAAAGAGGTGCACTTTTTTCTGCTGGTTTACTCCCAAATGCCAGGAACTCAATCCAGGTCTCCATGCAGGTGGCAGGGCTCCAACTTCCTGAGCTACAAATGTCTCCCAGGGTGCGTGTTGGCCGGAAGCTGGGCTCTGAGGCAGGGCCAGGTCTCGGCCGCAGGCACCCTGATACGGGATGCCAGCATCCCAGCCAGCATATTGCCACGACAGCAAATCCCTGCCCAGTGAAATCTGTTTTCCTAACATAGCTATAAAAAATTCCAGAAAGTGGTAGATTGTAATGAGAAGCCAAGGTTTTGGTCCTGGCTACATTCCTGCCTTTCTGCATTCTGATTTTGTTTAATTTCAATGGTGCTGACAAGCCATTTCTCTCCTGGCAGATTGGCAGACTTTTTTTTTTTTTTTAAGATTTATTGCTTTTTATTTGAAAGGCGGATTTTATCAGAAAGACCGAGACAGAAGTCTTTATCTACTGGTTCACATGCCAAATAGCTGCAGTGGCCAGAGCAGAGCCTAATCTAAAGCCAGGAGCCTGGAACTTCTTCCAGGCCTCCCATGTGCCTGCAGAGGCCCAAGCCCTTGGACCGTCCTTTCCCAGGCAATAGTCAGGGAGCTGGATCGCAAGTGGAGCAGCCAGGAAATGAACTAATACCCATATTGGATGCTAGCACTTACAGTCAAAGGATTAGCTTGCTATGCCGTTGTACTAACCCCTGATTTTCTTCTCTTAAAAATATAGAATGGAGGGAAGGGACATGGGAGGTGGGACCAGCACTGTCAGGCCCCCTGAACACGTGTGGGAAACCCAGAAGCTGCAGACTCCTTGCTTCCAGCTGGCTCTGCTTTGCCCATTGTAGCCAAAGAAAGCTGGATAAAAAGGCAGTATGTAGCCTAGAAGTTAAGACATCTTCATTCCCCATGGGAGTATCAGGGCAATTCCTGGCTCCACACTCTTGGTTCTAGTTTCTTGCTAATGCAGATCATGGGAGGCACCAATGATGGGTCAAGCAGTGGGGCTCGTGGTTCCGTGTCCAGTCCTGAACCGGCTGCAAGCATTGCAGCCATTGATGGGGAAGTCTGTGTCTCAGATAAATGACTCCAGTGCCTTTAGTAAGGGTATTCGGCCTTCTTTAGTCATGTAAATAAGATGAATACATGGGAAGGCACTCAGCACACTACCTGCAAGTTCATCACCACGTCTGCCTCCTTCACTGTGCTTGGTTCTGTGTTTTAGAACCAGGCTACTGCCCTGTACGATTGGGAATGACAACTGGAAGACTTCAGTCCGGAGTGAATACCTTGCAGGGCTTCAAAGAAGATAAAAGGAACAAAGTTACTCCAGGTGAGGCCCTGCACCCAGTAGTCTTGGGCTTTCCCTGTTCTGCCTCAAGGAGGTAGGGAAATGAGTTGTAATCCCCAGTCATGGCGTTATTCCCTGGTTCCCTTGGTGATATTTTTGCATCCTCAACTGGCTGTTTCATTAACTGCAGAAGAAACTTGAAAGTCCACTATTGGTATACAAAATAAGTTTTGGTCTTTTTCCCTCTTTCTTTTGTTGCAACTTTGATTGCATCTTTACACGTATCTTTGTGGGAGAAAGTAACTAACTCGTATATCAGTCAAAGAACAGAGAAAGAAATCATCTTCTGATGAAACAGTGGAATAAGTTGGCGTGTAAGTTCAAGAGTAACATGGCAGTGTTTAATTTTTCTGACAGTGCTGTACTTGAATTATGGACCCTACAGTTCTTACGCTCCACATTATGACTCTACATTTGCAAACATCAGCAAGGATGACTCCGACTTAATCTATTCAACTTACGGAGAAGACCCTGAGCTCCCAAGCGACTTCAGGTGAGCCAGCAGATGATACGATATTCAGACCACCCTGAGTTCCTGGCAGGGTGCAGAGGCAGTTGTGGGTGGCCTTCCAAATGTGCTCAGGATCTTTTATTAATTCACTCAGAATTATCATCATTCTTTCATGAAACTTTTTAAAATGTATTGGCAATTACAACACTTAAAGATGCTGTGTCCCTCAACTGATTCACGGTCAGGAATTTGTTACTTCCGAATGTTTATGTGCTCTCTGCTGTTCTGTGACTCTGTGTGTGTGTGTGTGTGTGTCACTAAGTTGTGTTGCAAACTTGGTCTGTTTGAAAGCCTACAGTGCATTTCCCACGAGACAGGAAGCATTAAGCGTTGGCTTGGCTGACTGTCACCTCACAGGCCGCTGCAGCTGCTCTACACTGAACGTCTTTAGGTGGTTTCTGGGTTCCTGTTTACGATGCTAAGCACTTTGAATCCCATCAACATAATGAGCTGCCATCCTCATTCACAAAATCCTTCCTGGCCTGGGCCTCTTTTTAACTTTTATTATGGATAGATGAACAGGTTTCCTAATTTTCTGGCAGAAGGGAGATTTGAACAGATTCCACAGGATTTGCTGTGGTGGTAGAGTTCTTAAAAACAGGAGTCCCTAAATCAGAAACTGACTATGATTTCAGGTCAGGTTGTTCACATCATTTGGATCTGACCAGTTGAAACATTCTGGATTATTCATCTGTGCCTTCCTCAAGTAGGGACTGCATGCCCACTTTGTGGCAGGCATGCTGTACAAGCTGGGGATTGCATAGAGAGATACACTGTTCAAGACTCATGGCCTTTTGTCAGCTGCTGACAGGTGCCCTGAGGAAGGGGAAAGCAGCAGCTTTAGGAGTGCAGCGTTAGGAGAGGGCCAGAGAAGGCTGAACAAGGACTGAGGGAAGTGAGGAACCAGGCAGTGCCCCTTCTGAAAGAGAGGTCTTGCCAGTGAAGTTGCTATGCAAAGGCTCTGAGGCAGAAAGCTGCTGGACTGGGGGCAGCAACAAGAGCTGTAAGGAGAGGAGTGAAAAGGAGCATGTTTCACTGATAATTAGAGGGAATAACTTTTAATTTTTGGTAAAGCCTTGTGTTCCATTCTTGGAGAGTGTAGTGGCCCACCTCTGGCTTACAGTTTTAAAAGGATCATTCTGCTGTGTTAAGAATAGACTGCAGGGAGAAACAGACAAAAGTTGAGAGACAGCTAGCACTGTCCAGATCAGAAATGTGCTTAGGCCACCTCTTGGGCACCTGCATGCCACACTGTAGTGTCTGTGTTCGAGTTGTGGCTCTGCTCCAAGCCCAGCCTCCTGTGTTCGGTACCCTGGAGGGCAGCCTGCCACCCACATGCCAACCAGATGGTGTTCCTGCCTTGGCTCTTGGTGAACGTTTAGGGAATGAACCAACAGGTGAGAGATTTCTAACTCTGTGTCTCTCTACTACTCAAATAAATTAAGTGTACAAGTTTTAAAATGTTTTAAAGAGAAAAATGGAAGAGTAGAGCAGCACTGTTGGAACCCACTCGAGTATGAGAGAGGTCAGGAGTGATTCTGGTATTGGCAGGCTGCGTTAGAAGGAGATAGTGGTTGGTTATGGAAAAGGCAAGACACCGGATCACTAAAAAGAGACATCATTGTCGCTGTTGGATGCTTTAATTTTTTTAAGGGATTATGGATCTTTTGGTTCACTCCCAATTGCCTATAATAGGCAGGGATGGACTAGGCCAATGCCAGGGGCCTAGAACTCCATACAAGTCGCTCCTGAGAGTGGCAGGACCCAGGTGCCTTGGCCTTCACCTGCTTCCTTCCAGCATGCATTAGCAGGAAGCTGAGATTGCAGACAGGGCAGGGACTGCATCTGAGGCACTCCCACATGGGTAGAGATGCCCCACACTGTGTGTTAGCACTGAGCAGAAGCCTGCTCCATGCTCCAGCAGGGGCTATTAGACGTGCAAAAGCAGTTACCAAGAGGATCTGAGTTTGGACTCTGAGAGTCTGAAGCGAATCAGAACTTGAGGAAGGAAGTTAAAGGCAGAGAAGAGTGCTAGTCCCTTCTGTGAGGTTCTCACCAGTTTGTCCTCACTGAATTCTGGGTATGGCTCAATTCTCTTGTGATAAACTTACTCAAGTAAATATGCAAATAACAGATTTTGGCTAGACAGAAGATCTTTCCAGCATGGCACGTTAACTAAAGCATCTAGTGGTAACCACTACAGTAGAAGGGTTGGGCCAGTGGAGGTGATTAATGTGGAACTGACTTCTCCAACTCTCTTTCAGCATCCATGAATTTTTGGCCACATGCCAAGATTATCCGTACGTGATGGCAGATAGTTTACTGGATGTTTTAACAAAAGGAGGGCATTCCAGAACCTTACAGGAGTTGGAGACGGTAAGACTGCTGCTAAAGAAACACGGCAATTTATCACTGGCCTCAAGTGTTAGTCACTCAGTGTTGTGAAACCATGGTATTAAGCAGCACACTGTCTGAATCCATTCCCTGGAGAACAGCCCCTGGTGCAGTAGAGGACAGGGGACGGGCAAGAGGAGTTCGGCTGCCAAGGTCTATGAAGGCCAGAGGGTGGTCATTATCTCCACACCCAGGGATGGTGGGCTGCAGCAGTGGAGTTTTCAGCCAGGAGAGAGGCAGCTGTGTGCCCTGACAAAAAAGCACATGCCCATGGGCTTGAAACTCAGTCAGCTACAGTGATAGGGAAGGAATGTCCTTTTTTAAATTATGTGGTAGGTAGCAGCATAGTGCTAGAACCTCAGAAAGTCCACAGCGTTTGTAAATTACCTTAGCCCAGTTGGAATTAAACTCAAAGACAAGAACAGAGAATGTTCCTGCCGACACAGAGGGGAGTTCATCTCCAGACTGTCCTCCACGTGAGCAGCCCTGTGGTGGCCTGTGGGGGGCTGCTCTGTGGGTGTCCTGGTGGCAAAGCTGAAGTCCAGGGTAACTGCCAAAATCCTAGCCCCTGAACTTTCCACGACCTAAAAATCAGTAAACTTGACATAGTTCAACACTTTCTTAAACATGTTACACACCATATGGAAGTGCTGCTTCAAGTCCTGGCTCCTCTGCTTCTGATGCAGCATTCCTGGTAGTAGACCTGGAGGACAGCAGATAATGTCGCGAGGGCCTGGGTCCTTGCCTCACGTGTTGGGGACCAGGATGACCTTCGTGGCTCCTGGCGCAACCCTGGGAACATTTGGGGAATGAACCAGCAAATGGAACATATCCCCCTCACTCTCCCCTGCCATTATAATGCCTTTCTAATAAATAATAAAGATTTTCAGTTCATATTCTGTCCTTCTGGTTAATCTGAATTATAACTAAAATTGAACAGTTTTCATTTGGTGAATCTAGCCTGTTTCAAGATGTAAGGTTTCTCTGCCCTTTAGTGCAGCAGTCCTCTTGTAGGAAAAAAAGTTAGCATGTAATTTATTTATAATTTGTAGTTTGACAGCTAGTTAAATGAATCACAGGACAGCTTGCAGTTTTTGCTCCATGCCCATGACACACTGATGTCATCAATGTGGGCGTTCTCTCTGAAGAGCGGGATTATGGGAGGCCTCACATTCTCTCCAGTGTTTGGATATTAAAATGTGCAGTTGTCTTCCTCTATTGTCTCTGGATTATTCAGAATATTCCTTGGGCTTTTTCCTGCCTCCTCATCAGAAATCAGGCTGCACTGATTGAAATGCTGATGTTCTGGTTTCTTATCTAATGCTTTTTAGTGTGTAGCCAAACTCACACAATTTTAATAATTTAATTCACTTTGCATTAAAAGCTATGTTCCTGTGGTTTCTGTTCTTACTTCTCTTGGCATGAAATTTTGTTCTTCTTGATCTTAACCTTTGCATGTATTTTTTTGCTAAAAGGTTGTTTTTCTTTATCCTCACAGTCATCTCCTGAAGATGAAAGTCAGACCGAGACACTTGACACAGCCAAAGAAGTGGAGGTAATTATTTTTGGTTCCTTACAAGACGTAGTTACCTTGAGAATAAACTCAAAGACCTAAATAAGAGTGAAAAATTCACATTTGCCTCTGGGGGATGTCGTAGCAGCTAATGCAGTAGACAAGCTTCTAGAAAGAGAGCTGGAGCAGCCACCCTGCAGTGTGACAATACCGGCCGGCCATGGGCGCCCAGCACGGAGGGCCTCGCTGCCCTTGGGACTGCGGAGATGAGAACAGAGGGGCTGCCAAGTGATCTGGGCCAGAGGGTGAAAAGGCTTCTAGCAAGCAGGGGAAGAAAGCGTGGAAGTGGAAGTTCAAAAAGCAAGTGACCTGGAGGATCCCTGGGGAGGGCATGTGGGTGAGGAATGTCTTGTGTAGTGCGAAATTGTTACCCTAGAAGATGGGATACTGTGAGAAATTTAGCAAAGGAAGGGCACTGTGAAAAGCTATGGGACATGGCTGCCCAGAAAAGTAACTAGCATTCTATTGTCAAAGAAGGGAATGAGGATTGGGAAAACCACCGACAGTTGACATGACCTGATGGGGCAGTCAGAAGCTAGTATTATTGTCTTGTAGAGGTACAGGAAAAAGACCCTGTATTTGAGGGAGAAGGGTGTTAGACTCGGTTCAGAAGAGGTGAATGGGACAGTGTAGAGGTGCATCTTGCAATCACTGCTGTGGAGCTGCAAGTTCCACATATAAAGGTAGAATTTTATTTAAGTTAGAGTGGGCAAGACCCAGCTGGGATAAAGGGTAGACTGACAAGGGGGCCAGGACAGTGGCTGTCTGGAGTAAAAGAACAGTGTCCCGCACTTGGGGCAGGAAGGGGGCTTCAGGGGCAAGTGAGGGGACAGAGGACAGGAACACTGACAAGTGAGGTTAGGTGAAGATGCCAGTGGGATTTATACCCAAAAGAGGAGAAGCCAGGCAAGCTTGTAAGCTCACTAAGGGACAAGAAGGAAAGACATTTGAGAATAGACAAGATGAGAAGTTGGGTGAGAATGAAAAGGTAGGCCACCAGCAGGTTCAGCTACCACCTGTAACACTAATGCCAACATCCCATATGGGCACGAGTCCATATCCTGGCTGCTCCACTTACAACCCGGTTCCCTGCTTATGACCTGGAAAAAGGCCTTGGGCCCCCACACCCACATGCGATTCCCAGATGAAGCTCTTGGTTTCTGACTCCAGCTCGGCCCAGCCCTGACCATTGTAGCCATCTGGGGAGTCAACCAGCAAGATCTCCATCCCTCCTCTCTGTTTAACTCTTTCAAATAAATGGGCAGATCTTTAATAATAATAATAGCAAACGAATGAATGAAAGGACGACATTGTGTAGGGTTGTATGGCGTCCACTGAGGGGGCAGGGCATGAATATGTACAACTTGCCAGCTCTTCTCTACCACACGTTTAGCCTGTATGTAGTGTGTGTATGTGTTCAGATTGGAGTGGCAGTGCAAAACCATACTATAAATGGAACCATGAACTTGGGATTACTTCTTTATCTGGGTTCCTCTGTTCCCAGAAGCACTGCTGAAGCCTTGGAAATGTGTGAGGTTCACAATTCCAGAAATATATAAATCGGTGAGATACTGTTGATTCTAGGCTGTACTGCCAGCCTGGTCTGGGAGCCTGCAGGAGACTAGGGTAAAGCTGAGGCAGGAGAGCAGGTGTACGTGAGCCCGGTATGCTGACACACTGGTGATTGAGTCTTAGCAAAAGCCCATCACAAGCGAGGCAGAAAGAAGGCTGTTGATTGTCTTTAGAATGACAGAAACTGTCTCGATTACAATGCAGAGAAGTATGAATTTATATGCACTTTTTTTTTTTTGGCCAAAATTTAGGTGTTGCTTTTTCTTTAAAAAAAAGGTATCTTTGAAAGAGCTACAAAGAGGGAGACAGAGAGGTCTTCCATCCTCTGGTTTACTCCTCAGCTGGCCACAATGGCCAAAGGAGCATCGTCCAGACCTCATACATGGGTGGCAGGGCCCGAGTCCTTGGGCCATTCTGTACTGCCTTTCCCAGGACATTAGCAAGGAGCTGGATCAGAAGTAGAGAAGCCAGGGCCGCAGAATCACAGGCAACAGCTTTGCCTGCCACGTCACAGCTCTGGCTCCAGGACTGGCCTTGTCACAGTGTTCCAGGAGGGCCTTTTGTGTAGATCTCAGAATTTGGCCTCCATATTACTCGAGTTGGATACCTTGGTCTACAAACATTGCTGTCTTCCTGACCCTAGCAAGCTCTGCCATGGCCTCACAAGTCCAAACACTTTTTCTAAAGCAGATCACAGAAGTCGAGCCAGCAGGGCGCTTGGACTCCAGCTCTCAGGACAGGCTCACCGCACTGAAAGCAGTAACCAGCTTTGGCGCGCCACTGCAAGTCTTTGACTCGGAAGGTGAGTGTCCGCACGGTCAAGCTTACTGTCACAACAGTACCGATGACCAAGCCAGGTCCCACAGGAACATCGCGGCTGGCCTGGGGAACAGAGAGCTGCTGCTTCTGGTGCTAACCAAGAAATAGGAATAGGACTCCCTTAACCACACAAAATCAAACAAAAGTTGTATCGTGTTTTCTTCCAGCATATTCTGTTTCTTCCACACAGAGGCTGAAGTGTTCCAGAGGAAACTTGACGAGACCACCAAACTGCTCCGGGAGCTTCAGGAAGCCCAGAACGAACGGCTGAGCACCCGGCCTCCCCCCAACATGATCTGTCTGCTGGGTCCCTCATACAGAGAGATGCATCTAGGTTGGTTACCACCCTGCCCCACCTGCCCGAGGGAGTTCAGTCAAAAGGCTTGAGGGGAAGTGAAGAATTTGTTGTTTGCATTAAAACCTTCATTCTACTTTGGATTTTTTTTTTTTTTTTTTTTGCTAAAGGAAGAACCATTTCTAGTAACACCTTGTACTTTATTTTTTCTTTGTAGCTGAACAAGTGACCAATAATCTTAAAGAACTTGCACAGCAAGTAACTCCAGGTGATATTGTAAGCACATATGGAGTTCGAAAAGCAATGGGGATTTCGATTCCTGCCCCCATCGGAGAAGCCAGCTTTGTAGATTTAACAGCAGGTACCTGCCCCGTTTCCCATGAGGGGAAGGCAATTGGATACGAAAGAAACCCGAGTTCTCTTCCTTCAGATGACATTTGTAAGGTTTGGTATCTGGGGATTTTCTGGGTTTTTATTAGAGGTCTCCCATCCACTGGTTCTCTCCCCAAATGCCTCTAACAGCCAGAGCTGGGCCAGACTGAAGCCAGAAGTCCAGTCAGGGGTCCACACAAAGCAGCCAGGACCCTCCTACTGGAGCCACCACCTGCTGCCACTCATGGTACACATTAGGAGACTGGAGTCGGGAGCAGGAGCACAACTCTGGTCTAGGCATTCCGACATGGGATGCAGGTGTCTAACGGGTAGGCCAAGCAGCTACCCCTTCGGGTTTTTAAGACAAAGCTACCTTTAGTTTTCTATCTCATCTGAAGACTTCTGACACATTTGCTGAAAAAGCTGCCGTAGTGACTTAATGACAACCTAGTCTTTAACCTTCAAGTGCTAAAGCAGAACTGTCAGCAGCTATTGTGTTTGCTGGCTTTACCGTCACTGCCCCTTTTTAATTAAAAGCTGGGAATACTGAATGGAATGGTGCCTTCTCCTTTCAGATGTTGAAGACCCTTCAAAGATGGACAGTGCTGAGTGTGGACCTGCTGGGATTTGAAGCTAACTGGTATTTGATTATATATTATGTACATATTTTTTTCATTCTGAACTTGGAAATGCTTTTCAGGAGATATTAAAATATTTGTAAATTGTGTTTTTAATTAAACTTCGGAACAATTTTAGTGTTCCAGAGGTTGGACTTGTCTTAGGCAATAAAGCTAAAGCTGGTACTTGGAGCTGTGCTGTGAACTCAGTTACCCTTGACCGTTCCCCATGGGGGAAGTGAGCAGTCAGGTCTCCACAGCCTTGACAACAGCTCGCTTGTCCATCTGCTCACTGCAGCGTGCCAACCAGCGCCATCTCGCTGGGGCCCTTGAGAGGACTGTGGCTGCTGCCTCCCACACAGCACCTTAACCAGGAAGCCTTTTTTTTTTTTAAGATTTATTTTCAAAATTTTTATCACAAAGTCAGATATACAGAGGAGGAGAGACAGAGAGGAAGATCTTCTGTCCAATGATTCACTCCCCAAGTGAGCACAACGGCCGGTGTTGTGCCGATCCGAAGCCGGGAACCAGGAACCCCCTCCGGGTCTCCCACGCGGGTGCAGGATCCCAAGGCATTGAGCCGTCCTCCACTGCTTTCCCAGGCCACAAGCAGGGAGCTGGATGGGAAGTGGAGCTGCCGGGATTAGAACCGGCGCCCATGTGGGATCCCAGCGCATTCAAGGCAAGGACTTTAGCCACTAGGCCACGCCGCCGGGCCGACAACTTTAATAATTCTAAACCCCAGGGAAACTAAGTGCCTCCCGGACACCCTTCTCAGAAGGGAAAAAAAAAAAAGTTTGACAGCATGTAGCATGTTTGGTGGTGGTTGTTTTTTTCCTGTATAGCAGAGGGAAGCCAGGTAGGATCAAGCATCCTTAAGGGCATCAGGGGAAAGTTTATCTCCCCAGTCAGCTGCCTTCAAGCCCACTGCTTTGACCGGAAAAGTGGCAGTCAGTGTCTGAGCAGTGTAGTTGCTGGTGGAAGAGGAGGCCGGGAGAGGGACCCCCCCCGACTGCAGCCTCGGGGCTGTCGGCAGGGCCGGCTCCATGGCCTGGCTCAGTATACAGAACCTGCTTCAGAAGCTGGCAGCCTGCAGAGGCGGGAGGCCAAGGGGTGGTGCCCTCCACGGTGAATGCTGACCCTCTCCAAAGGCACCAAGGTGATCTTCCCTTTCAGAAACCTGCCTCCGACCGTGTGTGAAGAGTCAGGATGCCAGCTCAGGTGTTTCTATCAAGTCTTTTTAGAGTATAACTTTCATTTCTACAGACAGTTGAGACAACAACTATTCAGCTTCAGATTACCCGATTCAGGTAACTTCTGGATCCCTTAGGACACACAGGTGTTCTCCATTGTTAATTTAATGTTTCAGAAGCAGCTATGAACATCGGCAGTTTATAAAAACGCAACAAAACATTTTGAAATAAATGTTACAGATCTATAAATATTCCCTATGTAGAATAAACCGTAGTTACTTGCATGCACCTTGCCCAAGCACGTTACTGTACATCACCCTGGTAACACACAGTGTCCAATGGGGGAGCTTTGTTAGGAAGCCTGCCTGTCAGTAAACCAGAGAACATCAGCAGGTACATTCGCAGTAAGAATTTTAAGTCAGTCCTCGACAGAGGTCACAGTTAGGAAAGAGCAGGTGTGACACCTGTTAGGGTCAGTTATAGTCCTGTTCCCTATGACTGTCCTTACTTGAGCATAATGCTTTCTTTGGAAATGTAGAAAGGCAGTTACTTTTGAGACTCTCAGTTGGGTTTCGGTTGTTGCAGTTGACAGCTACAGGAGAGAAACACAGTCATCCCAGTATGACTGTCAGTAACAGGGGCACTCCCAGCACTGTTCCCTGCTAGATTGTCACAACTGATTTCAATACAGAACTTACCTGAACCCTGCCCTTTATGTGAAAAGCAGACTTGAAATAAAAATGGCAATTTAAGCAAAGCTCATTTCCCTTACTGCCATTTTTGCCATATAATACCTTTTTCTTTTTTAAAAGATTTTTTTTTTTTATTACAAAGTCAGATATACAGAGACTAAGAGAGGCAGATCTTCCATCCAATAATTCACTCCCCAAGTGAGCACAACGGCTGGTGTTGTGCCGATCCAAAGCCAGGAACCTCCTCCAGGTCTCTAACAGCGGAGCAAGGTCCCAAGGCTTTGGGCCGTCCTTCACTGCTTTCCCAGGCCACAAGCAGGGAGCTGGATGGGAAGTGGAGCTGCCAGGATTAGAACTGGCACCCATATGGGATCCCGGCACATTCAAGGCGAGGATTTTAGCTGCTAGGCCACAACCCCAACCCCATACAATACCTTTTTAACAGGTTCTTCTAATGTCATACAGACCCCACTAACACACAGCTCATCAGAGCAGCCCCAGCCTACCCAGCACCAACAGGACACCACACAAGCAACAGGTTGTGTGTCAGTTCCTGCATGCAGGATTCTCTGTACACTTTGGGTGGGGACATGGGTGACTTGTAGCCAAGAACCCCTGCTACATGGTGACAACTTTTGGAAGCCTGGGGGCCCCAGCTGTGAGACCATGGAGTAGCTAAGAAAAGGAAGTGGCAGGTTCTGGTAGCAGCCAGCTGGGGTCTGTCAGCCCGTCTCCAAGCCCAGCATTCCCTCTGGGGAGGGCAACCTCCGGCTCTGTGAAGAAGGCTGGCACCCCCGCACTTCAGCAGCTCTACACCTGCAAGTGCCAGAATCCAGGTCAGGGGAGCCTCAGGCCGCCCTCCTCCTCTCTGTATACAAGCTCCATTCCTTCCCCGTAAAAGGAAGACCAAGTTCAAGTTGCCGGGGAGCATGCAGAACCACATGCCACGCGGGCAGTTGGGGTGGGAGGGGGCTGCTGAGAGCCGTACCCTGCATCCTAGGCTCAGCTTAGTGACCATCATCCCACGTGCTCGCAGCAGAGGTGCCCGACTGAAGGTCACATGTCCCGCACTGCACGTTGCTCAGGATGCTGAGCCCCTCGGTAAGCCCGTCAGCCAGCACTGGATGGCAGCCCTCCTCAAATGTCAGTGCCTAGCAGGGCCACGAATATGCTGGCGCGAAGAGCGCATCAAAGTATGTGAAAGAATAAAAACCCCGTCATAACAATGTAGCCCTTTAAAACAGCCGCACGTCAAAGATGGCAAGGAGTCACCAGTGTCAGTCACAGGGCGTTTTTTCCTCTTCCTTTCTCGGCTACATTTGCCAGGAGGCCTTGGCGATCACACAGTGCAGCCGTCCCTCTGGGGAGAAGGGGCCCTTGGGCCAGGCATGGCAGGCACCTTGCCTTAGGCATGCTCCTCCTCTGGGAGAAGCCAGTCTTCCTCAGGCATGCGCACAGGCTGCCCCAGGGAGGATAACTCTTCAGTTGGGCTCTAAAATAACCTCCACACACCTCAGGAACAGAGATCTCGAAGTCACCGGGTCGCACCTGTCCTGGCTGACCCAGGAGTCCCTGCAGGCCCACAGCACCGAGTCCTGGCCGGCACGGTGGTACGGCTCAGGGCCACTTTGACCAGGATCTGGCGTACACATCTGAGAAGTGTCGTCGTGCAGATCCACGCAGGCTACGCACAGCCACCTGGCAGGAGGTGTCTCGCTGAAGCCTTGGGATGACTCCCTCTGCCTGGCAGGAGCCGGGCTTCTCAGCTGGCTAGAGAGAGGAAAGCGGCTCCCCAGCGCATCCTGAACCCACCAGAGCCCTCAGTTCAGCCCGAGCCCTTGAACCTTGGCAGTGTCTGTACAGACAAAGTAAGTCCTCAGTTCGCCTTTGCCTTTGACGTTGATCAGCCCCCGGCACTCGCAGGAGTAGCCTAGTCCCTGGAGGATGGTGCAAGTCTCTTCAGTCACCTGAAAGGGAGGACAGGCATCCTCAGGAACAGGAGGGAAGCCTGGGGGCCGAGCAGCTGCACCTCCATGCCAGCGCGCTCCCCTTGCACGGGAGCTTCCCCGGGGGTACCTGGATTTTGCCCAGCTCTCCAGTGCTCTCCATTCGGCTGGCCACATTGACTGTGTTGCCCCAGATGTCGTACTGAGGTTTCCGTGCCCCAATCACGCCAGCAATTACGGGCCCGTGGTTTATGCCTGAGGGAGATCAAGCACACGGTTGGCATCTCACAGGGGCAAAGTCCAGAGCATGTGCAGCGAGGGGCCCCCAGTCCAGCCCTCATCCGTGGAGAGCAGGCCCCAGGTGCTTCGGCTGCCCCCTGACTGCAGTAGGAGAGGGCATGTGGGGAGATGGCCTCCGACCACAGGGCTCGATGCTAACACTGCTGGTGCCAGCTAATAGCCTTTCATCAAAGGCTAAGCAGACCCTTATCCCTTCAGCCGCCAGGACCCAGAGGCTCAGCCAGCAGGCTGTAATCTGAGTGGATGGTAGGTCCCTATTCCCAGCCGGGAATGAGTTTTCCCTCAAGGTTCCCCTGAAAGGAATAGAATGCTGGGCTCTGTTAGGCCTGTTAGACGGGTTTCCTTGCACCTGGCATGGAGGCCGGCAGCACCCAGCCTCGCTACCACAGGTGGGTGTGCCTGGGCAGCCTCACCGACTCGCAGGCGGAAGGAGTTGAAGGAGTGCCGGTTGATGCCGTCCAGCTTGCTCATCAAGGCCATGCTGAACTCCACCATGACGCCGATGTGGGCATGCTGCCGCTCCACGTCCTGCGGACACGGCCCCAGGGTGTGTCAGAGCTACGGCCGCCACTGGGGCCAGGCATGGGCGGGGACCTTGGAGGGGGATTCGCCAGCACCCCCTTGAGGTTGGCCACCTCCTGGGGTGTGCAGGCTGAGCCATACACTAGCCTCTGCCCTCCCCCTCAGGACAGGTAAAGCGCCCTTCACTGGAGGGAACAGGTCCGGGGACCGTCCTGGGTGTCCCTGGGTGTGCAGTCTCAGTACCTACCTGGTTCTCGTGCCCTGAGGTGACACTGAGCCCTGCAGCCGCCATGTATGTGCTGCCAATAGTCTTGATCTTCTCCACACCACTGAACTTGGGCTTCAGCAGCAGCTGGGGACAGAGGGCAGCAGAGTGAGGGGCAGAGGCACAGCTGCGGAGCAGGCCTGTCTGTCCTGATTATAAGGAACAGAGCAGGAGCCACCTCCCCACTTCTCTCTTAGGCGTGGTCCTGCCATCCCTACGTGCTAAGAACACCAAAGGCGGGGCCTCTGGGCAGCCGTGCCGCCTCCCTCATCCTCTCGCTGCCTTTGGGAGAAGCCCAGCAACGTGTCCAGGAAGGTGGGCGGTACGTCTCTAGCAGTATGCACAGAACTGATGTCAGCAAGCAGCCCGTCAGATCCCACGGGGCAGCAGGAGGACATTACCGTTTACTCCTTGTGGAATGCCTGGCCTCACTGCCCACTAGCGGACGCTACCTGCTTGGGACGCAGGCCACCCCTGCCCTGCCAGCCCGTACCTCATCGAAGTCGGCGATGATCTCGTTGAGCAGCCGCAGACACTCCAGCCCTTCCTTGTTGACGTCACACTCAGTGTAGAACACTTTGAAGTCCGGCACGGATGCAAACATGACACAGACGCAGTCGTAGGACTGATGGTACCAGTCCTGGATGGGGCAGGGAGGACATGGGGGTCCCATGGCAGATGGAATGGGGCTGCCCGGGACACTGACAGGAGCTAAGATGGAAGCGCATCAGGCTCCAAGTGGACTGTGCTCAGTTAGGCCTGTGGGTATTTGTTGCCTAACTGGGGAGGACAGTGAGAGGTAAGAAGTGCAGCCCCAGGCCTCCCTGCCACAGCTGACTGGGCCTCAGATGCTTGTCCCAGTTACCAGCACCTGAACACATTATACCCCTCCTCCTGCCACAGTCCCACAGGGGACCGCTGCACACCCATTTCTCAGGCATAAACATCAACACCCAGGGAGGGCCCGTGTCCTTAAACAGCTAATGCCAACACAGTCTGCCGGGCACACAAGTGGGGCCAAGCCCTGGGGAGGGGCCACAGCATGTTGCAGCTCCCCACCTGCACGCCAGTGCCTTCGGTCTCCCCTGCCCACCTCGTTGAGTTTGTCCCCGATGAAGTGCGCGGCCACGTGCGCCGGCAGGACGTTCTCCAGGAGGAGGCGGTTCACGTTCTCCATGGTCTCGAACTCCTCCTGCTCCGTCCTGAACTTCTTCTTCCACAGACAGTCCAGGCGGCAGTAATAGTCGATCTGCACCCATGGGAAGCCCCAGTGTCCAGACCCAGGGGCAGCGAGCCCGTCCGAGGGGCCGGAGGGCACAGCCACACCCCACCCTCGGGGATCGGAGCTCCTCAGCTGTGCACCGTGTGCCCCCACTAAGGGCACATCTCCTTGCCGGCTCAGGCACCTCTGCTGCCCTCCACGCTGCCTGCACATGAACTCCCCATGCTCCCCACTCTAGCTTCCGGTCCGGGCAGAGTGGGGTGAACAGGCAGAGCTGCCCTTGGGGGCGGTGGGCATGTGTGTACCTGTCTGGAAAGCATGACCAGAGTCGCATAAAACAGGACCAGGTAGAAATTGATCATGATCTTCAGATCCCAAAGACAGCTGGAGGCGCTGCTGGGGGTGAAGAGGGGCAGGGGTCAGTCCCCACCCCCACAGTGCTGACTGTGGGTGGGCAGAGGAGGGGACCTGTTTCCATGGGACAGACTTGGCAGGACCACTCTGGCTGGGAAGAGGCCGGGAGGGTAGCAGAGGGTTGGGGTGGGGGCTGAGCTGGAATGTCCCCTCTGAGATTACAACGGAGCCCTCCCCACCCCCATGAAGGACAAGGGTCAGCCAGTGTGGAGGGGCCAGGAGGTATTCGGGAACCAGCAGCCCTGCAGGTCCCCAGGCCACTGGCCTTTTACTTAGAGGGAGCCAGGCCCCTTTGCTCAGGCCAGTCTCTAAAACGTGTCTCCCCCCAGCCTCAGGGGTCGCCCCTGTTCAGGTAGACAGCAGGGGCATCTGCTCTTGCCCAGCTCGGGAAGAAGGACCAAGTTAGAGGAGAAGCCAAAGGCGCCCTGAATGGCCAGCCCATGCTTATTCTAGAACCAGCTCCTCTCAGAGACTGCCAATGAGCCAGCCACCTCAGCCTTGAAGCGGGAAACCTGGACTGTGGCCTGGTCACACGGAAACCCATGAGGTGAACAGACTAAAGCTGCCATATGGGGCACCGCGTGGGGCCTACCTGAGGGTACCGTTGGGCTGGGTGAGGTTGCCCAGGCCCGAACTGCAGCAGTCCTGCTGCCAGCAGAGGGAGAAGTGGGCGGGGAGGTTGAAGAGCAGCAGATAGGCCACCAGGGCCACTGTCAGCAGCAAGACCTTCAACTCCAGACTCATCCGCAGGAAGACGGAGCAGGCCACGAAGCCCAGGATGCACGTGCAGGTATAATACTGGGCACACAGGAAGGGGACGGGAAGAGAGGGGTGACCAGGATAAGCAGCAGTGAGGAGGGAGCTGCCCCCCCCCCCACTTCACTGACCCCCAGCACACCGCAGCAAATAAATGCAGCAAATAAAAAATGAACATGCTACATGGGCAGTGGTAGACAAAGGTGGATGTGGGAACGGCTGCTCCTCCCCCAGTCTGCCTGTGAGGCTGCCCTGCACCCCTGTGCGCACGCATGCGCGCGCGCGCGCGCGCGCGCGCGCACACACACACACACACACACACACACACACACACACACACCCACCCACCCTCTGCCTGTACTCTCCAGCTCAGGATCCTGCTGTGGCTTCCCAGTGCCCTCTAGCAGAGAGCTCACCTTTCTCCCCAGCAGCCCTGCCCCACTCCACCTGCTCACAACACAGATTCCTGGAGACAACCCCTGCCTCCATTATGCCTTGGTTCCTGCTGCCCCGTCAGCTCCCTGCCCAGGACTCTTGAACCCACTGGAGGCCAGCTCAGGGTGTCCGCTAGTCGTGAGATCACACAGCCCCCACGCTATACGTCCAGGACCCTGCCTAGTCAAGCAGCTTCTGCCTTTGGCTGCCAGCAGCCTGGGCTTGGCTCTGCCACCCACGCAGTCAGGAACCAGGCTACCTCATCAATAAAAGGGTGATGACAAGGGCAGCCATGGAGGAAGCAGCAGAAGCCACCCAGGAGTGCACTTGGCTTCTCTAGCCACATGGTCCCAGGAACCCAGCATCCACATTAGCCTGGCAGGTGTCACTCTCCTTGCAGGGACCCTGGAGGCTAAGCCAGCCACCACAGGGCCACACTCACCTGCAAGACCTGGCATAGGATCCTATCCTTGCTGCTTAGGCTCACTGGGCTCGTCTCGTTACCAACAGGCAGCCCTGAGGCCGGGCTAGGTGTCAGGGGCTGCAGGGGGAGACACGTGAGGCTCTTCAGGGATGGAGCATTGCGGCAGGCACAGTGCCAGCACAGCCAGCAGTCATGGCCAGGCCTTAGGGCAGCATGCCGGGAGAAGGTGGGACAGGGAGTCTAGAGAAAACTGGGTGGGATAAAAACACCCACCCCACTCCCCAGGGCTGCTATCACATCAATGAGTCCCAGAGCCCGGGTCCAGGAAGAGGGAAAGGCCACCAGGACATGTTGGCGGCTCAGGATGGGACATCCTTGGGAATCCGATCAGGTGAGCAGCCTGGGTACCAGAGCCCTTGTTATGAGGACCAGATGACAAGCAGCTCGAAGCCTGCACAGGAACATCTAGGGATGCCCGTAGAGTTCCAACTCCCACAGTTGAACTCCAGAGTGCTCCCTGGGCAAGGACCAGCTCCTCTGCCCAGCTGAGTACCAGGGGCTTGCGGCCTGTCCTGCCCAGCCCAGTCAGTACCCACCAGGGTGATGACAGCCACAGTGATCAGGCTGCCGATGGTGAGCACAGTCAGTGTCAGTCTCAGCAAGGGCTGTGTCTCCACCCTCTCGGAGATGGCTTGGCGTGTCCCGGGGGCCAGGCAGCCTTTCTGTGAGGGGAACAGGGGGAGCAGTCACCCAGAGTCACCCCCTGCTGGCCTGGAGGCAGGAGAGGCAGGCAGGGGCCAGAGCAGCTGGGGAGCAGTCCCCCACAGGGGCACCAGAGGTCATGGAGACAGGGACCTCCCCACTCACCAACAGCTCACTGGCAAAGCACAGGCCGAGCACCACTGCCAGCAGGTAGGCAACCAGCCCAAAAGACACACCCAGGGCCATCGTCCTACAAAGAGGAAATCCAAGTTCTAGGGGACCAAGGGGCAGGCCCCCACCACAGTCCCTGCCCACTGTTATTCTGCACACAGTGAGCATTTGGCAACCCCTGGCCCAAAGACTGAACCCTGCCAGTCCCATCACACAGCCCGTGAAGGCTGTCTGGTGGGTCCTGCCACTCAGCCAGCCTGGTCCCCAGAGGGGCTTAATGGACCCCTCCCATGTTACTCACCTGGGCATCACCAGGACATGGACGAGCAGGATGCAGACAAAGATGAGGCCGGCACAGGCAAAGTCACGGCGGGCCCGGGGCACAGGTGCCAGGCGGTACTGGGAGCGACAGCAGCAGTGAGGGCTGGTCAGCCAGCCACCTGCTGGGAGCCCTCAAGGACACGCACGCGAAAGAAAGGCTTACAGTCCCCAGGTCCCCATGGACACCATGGATGCTAGCCACAGCTAGCCTCACACGGCATGCTCTTCCCAGAGGTCTTATGCCCCCTCATACACCCACCCACCATCTTCTCTCTAAAACATAAACACCCCCACCCCCGCACCTCACCCTCTGAGTCCCTGAGACTGCTGTTGGGCCTGTCCCCACCTCAAACCAACAAGTAAAGCTGGGTCTGGGCTGGCAGGAGGTAGCAGCCCCTCCACCCCAGCAGTCACCAATGGTCACAGCCCCTGGGCCCCTCCTGCAGGTGAGATGCCAGCAGAGGGCCCACCTGCTGGCCTTCCTGGAAGCCCCCGCCCCTGGGAGCCCCTTCTCTCTGGAGTTGAGGGTAGAGCACAGAGGCCACGACCCCCTTCTTGGATGGGCCACCCTGAGAGGCACTCGTTCTAGCAAAGTGAAGTGGCAACAACCACCTGGGCCAGCCATGACAGTGTGGTCCCAGAACGCTGCTTGCCAAGGCCACCAAGGGCATGCCTCCCTCAACTTGCCCTGCCATGGCCCCACCCTGATCCCCTCACCTCTCGTTCAAAGCTCTTCTCAAGGAAGATGGACCCAAAGGTGTGGAAGTCATCGGACTTAGAACAGCAGGGCCTGAAAGTGACAGTTCTAGGGTAAGAGGGGGTGCTGGGAGTAGGAGCTACCTCCTAGGAGGCTGCTTGAGGAAAAGGCTGGGCCTACCCAAAGGGAGGACCCCACTCAAGCTATGGGAGTGGGCTGAGATTGAGGGGGACGGAGTGGATGGAAGAGGTGGGAGGCTGAGAGAGGTGAGGGAGGAGGTGGAGAGGGGAGAGGAGAGGAGTAAGGTGGGGTTAGGTGGGAGGATGAGAAGGGGTTGGGAAGAAGATTGGGGTGGGCTGGAGTCAGGGGTCTCACCTGGTGGAGCTGAGGCTCTCGATGGCATATAGCATCTCATCATCGTAAGAGTCGTCATCTGCCCGCCCCCGTGGGGATGTGCTCCTAGAACCACAGCCCCCCAGCGACATCATCCCGAGCCTCCTCACTAGTGGGGTTACCAAGTAGCTCAGGGTAGGGGGCAGGAAGAGGGGTTAGGGGGAACCGACTAAGGCCCAGAGACAGCAAATGAAGGTCCAGCATTGCCCCTCAACACTGAGCTGGGGCTGCACAGAGACCAGACCACTCCCAACCCCGCTAACCCCAGCCCAGGGCAGGTACCCAACAGGGGCTCAGCACCATCCCAGAAGAGCCAGTTAGGCCACTGCCAAGTGGGCTGGGCCTCAAGGAGCTGCCAAACATGGCAGTCTACCTGGAGGCAGTGGCATCTGGAGCAGGACTTGGCCAGGAGGGGGTAGCACACATACCTGTCAGGGGTCCGGTGTCGCCGTAGGGGAATAGCCTGGAAAAGAAGGGAGCAGAGGTCACCCCCAGCCTGTTGGGTCCCAACATGGGCCCTGGGTTTATCACTTTATCACCAGTGGGACTGCCTAGGTATCAGGGCACCTCGCGCTGAAGCTGCCCTTGCGCCGGAGGTGCCATGCCAGTCAGCTAGACAGAGTAAGGTTCCAAGGGAAGGACCCTGCCCGCCCCCCACCCCACACATGAGCTGGGGTACCTTGGGCCTCCGGCTTCTGAGGATGGGGGTCTCACCGCTGCTCACACTCTCACGGTGGTTGAGGTGAGCAAAGGGCCGTGCTGCCCCCCAGGACTCTAGGTAGCGGGTCATGCGGACTGATGCTCGCATCTTCAGCGCTGCATCCCCTCTGGGCCTGGGCAGCTGCTGGCTGGGTGGGGGTGGCTGCTGGCTCTGCGGACAGGACAGACAGGGACTGTGCCATTGCCTGACCTGGCCCATCGGGAACTCGGGGTGTGTGTGTGTGTGTGTGTGTGTGGTGGGGGTAGGCTTCTCAGAATGCCAGCCCCCTGCAGTGAAGGGGTGGAAGGTGCCATTGGGTGGCCGCCTCTGCCCCAGCCTGGGAGAAGCTAGCAGCCACTCCTTGCCATTACTGCAGAGACCTGGAACCTGTTAACACCCCCATCCTGCTCCCCACACACACCCTGCTGCTGTAGGGGACAGCTGGGAGGACAATCCCAAGGTGTTCCAATCATGTGGCCCCCCAACCTGGGCACAGGCAACCTGCCCTGTGTCTCACATGGCCCAGCTAGGCCCTACCTCCTCCACTAGAGTGTCAGAGCCCGACACCACCAGAGCTGGGCCAAGCAGGAATGGAAAAGATCCCACCCCAAAGCCAGTGGAAACAAGTTGGGCCATCTCCAATGAGCTACGTCCCCCTCTCCCACCTCCGCCCCTGCACACGCAGTCCCCTGTCCCCTGCGATCTGTCCCCCAGCCCACATCCCTCTACTCACACCCCACACACTGGCTCCCACAAGAGGCCGCCCTCCCTCAGCCCCTACATCCTGTTGGGACAGAAACACTTTTAAAACCTTAGCCTTATCAGTGTTCCTGGTTCACGGACACCAAGTGGAATCAGCCTGGTGAGCGTTGCGAGGCTGGGATCATACTTCATCCCTGTCTGCTCATCCACTGTTGGCAACCACAGCTACACAGCTCCCCAAGTATGTCACAGTCGGGACATACTAAAGACACCCACCCTGGGAAGAAGTCACAGAGGCACCTGCAGCTCCTCATGGCCAACAGCTACGCCCTCAGACCACCAGGGCCTCCTGGGGAGCAGGCTGCACCCCCAGGAAGGGCAGATCGGCTGCTCACAGCAGGGGCAGGCATTACGGCACGGTACATTAAACTGCCGCCTTCAACAGTGACATTCTACATTGAACTGGTACTTCAGATTCCGGCTGCTCTGCTTCCAATCCAATGGAAGATGGCCCAGATTCCTGGATCCCTGCCACCCACGTGGGAGATCCAGATGGAATTCCTGGCTCCTGGCTCAGGTCTGGCTGTTGTAACTATTAGAGGAGCGAGCGAACAGATTAACAGATGGAAGATCCCTCTCTTTGTCAACTAAATAAATTTTTAAAACAAACAATCCAAACACCTCTCCATGGCAAGAATACAAGGCAGCTAGCTCTCAGTCCTGCAAGGGATCTGCTAGCTGCGAGACAAGACACAGGGGAAACGACTGAGCACAGGTCCCACCCAGCTTTCGAAGTAGCAACTGCGTGGACAAACAAAATTATAACCAGAGACATTCTTCTCCGCTGAGAATTCCAGTCTGTCCAGCATCCTGCAGCTTGGCCTCGGCCTCTGGCAGCCGTGCGGGGGTGGCTTTGCAGCTGTGGCCTTTTGGTTCGGGACTCTGCTGCACTCATTGAAAAGCCACTTGGGCACTGGCTCCAGGGCCAGAGGTGCAGAAAGGGGCCTGTCTACTGTGACAGGGGACAGGGAGGATAGATGGGAGTCCCTGGGACATGGCAACGAAGATTCTAGACAAAGAGCACCCGGGTGGCAGAGCCTGACATAGCAGGGCAGAGGTACGTGGGAAGGGGCTGCAAGAGTGGGCGGGACCAAGAGTAGGGAGAGGATTTCATTGTAGACAGCAAGGCACCCAGGCCACAGGGACCCAGGAGGGGTTTTCTCAGATACCAACTTGGCGTGGAGTATGCCTGGAGTGGAGTGGGCCCTGGGGGACAGGGCCCATTGAGGTCTGTGGAGGACAGAGGCCTGGGAGGGCCCAAGACAGGAAAGCAGATGCTTGGGCCACTCAGGGCTGGTCCCCCACCCCCGGCCCATCCTGGAAGCCTGGCAGTCGGGCTGGGAAGTGAGAGGGAGCCGGCCAGCATTCTTGAGCTAGCCCCAAAGATGATTCACCCACGTCTGTCTGCCTCCAGTGCAGGGGCGGGTGGGCAGCCGGAGCCAGCCTCTGTCTATGTGCTGGTGCGGGGCAGGCAGCAGACAGCCCAGGGAGCCCCAGCCTAGCCCAGGAAGACCCCCACCTGCCCTGGGGCCTGAGAGTCGGGTTATCAGAGCCCACGACCCCCAGGGTCTCCCTGGCTCATCCTCAGCATGGTATATTTGGGAGCTGGGAAACAATGAAGGCCAGAGTAAAAAAGTGTCCCGCAGCTGCAGCTTATAGGGTGGTCATCCCACCTATTACCCTGACTGCCTAGCATGGAATGCCTTGTGCCTGGGGCAGGTGCTAGGGAGCTCACTCCCACCCAGACCCCCTCTGCCCCACCCCCGCCCGAGCCCTCCTACCCGCGGATCGATGACCAGGTAGGTGCGGATGTTCATCTCCTTCAGGTAGGGGTCACGCTGCTGCCCATGCCCTTCCTCCACCTCGTACGCCTTGTCCAGGTGGTTCAGGGTCGCCTCTGTGATGTGCACCCGGCTGCAGGAGACCCCAGGTCAGAAACAGTGCCAGCACCCACTCCGGAGTGCACAGGAGACAGTGCCAAGCGTGTCCAGACCCAGGTCAGTTGCCCCAGTTGAACAGCAGTTCAAGCACACTCAAGCTCACCCTGACCCCTTGGCCTCTGACGACACCCCTGCCCACCAACACTCACCCTGGGACTCCAGCCGCCTCCATCCTGTTGGCCAGTGACACGTCATGGGACCACACGTCATACTGCCACTTGCGTAGCCCGATGACACCGCACAGCACGTTTCCCGAGTGTATGCCCACACGCATGCTGATGTCCACACCTGTGGCCTCCCGGACCTGCCTGGGGCACAGCAGCCCTGTCAGACCAGGCCAGCAGGGGGCGCCTTGGACCCTGAGGTGCAGCATGGGAGGGGGCAGAGGTATGGCAGCCCAACCCAAGCAAACATCTCCTCCTTGAAAGGGGCTGAGTACCACCTCCCCCAGGGGGGCGGGGTGTACAGGCAGGTGCACCCCAGCCCCCAGGCAGGGAGGGATTCCTATTGCTTGGACAAACCCCCGACCAGGGGCTCCTTGCCCAGCAGCCCTGCTGAGGCCTATCCCAAGTCCAAGGAGTCTCACATGCTCAAGAACCTGGAGCTAACCCTAGGCAACAGGAGCCCCAGAGGTCACAAGGAACCCCAAGTTAGAGCTCACCAGAATACAGGCACACAGGGCCTCTCGGTCCCTCTGACAAAGGATGAGGAAGCAGCCAGCCCCATGGGTCCACCCTCAGGGCCAGGAGTGAACCATGCCAGCCAGGATCCTTACCACGGAGAGCAGAGGGGATGCCCCATGGGTCCACCCTCAGGGCCAGGAGTGAACCATGCCAACCAGGATCCTTGCCACGGAGAGCAGAGATCTATTACAGGTCCTGGTGCCACTGGCAATGGTCAGGAGTCTGCAGATCCTCCTGCTGCCTGCCCAAAACTTTGGTCCTTGGTCTCTGGTCCTCAGTTCCCGGCCCATCCCTATCCAACCTCCCAATCTAACCTCCTTCACCCATCTTTGAGTCTCTGGCACACTGCCTGGGGTTCAAAGTCACGGGCAGACATAGAGGGAGGGATATAAGCAGATCACGCCGGAGCCCTCACTCCAGCCTCACTTTCCTCATCTGTAAGATGGGTACAGTGCATTCCCCACCACATGCTGGAGAGGCAGGACCCAGTACCAGGTCCGCCCTGTACCTACTTGATGGCCTCACACATGTCCAGCCCCATCTTCACGCAGTTCCGGGCATGGGTGGGCAGGGACACAGGCAAGCCTGACACACAGTAGTAGCAATCACCCAGAATCTTGATCCGCATGCACTCGTTGGCCTGCAGGGTGAGGCAGTGGCCAATGGGGTCAGTTGGGGGGTAGGAGCGAACTGTGACCACTCGGGGAAACAGCCAACTCCAGCTTCTCCCACCGCACACACACACACACACACAGGTGGGATGGGCTGGCCAGGGGCTGTCTTCTACAGAATCAGCCACCAGGACCCACTCCCAGGCCTGACAGAAGGACTGGGGGCATGGGGGCTGGGGGCTGGGGGGAACCTCATGGCAGGGCTGTCCCCTAGCATTCCATTGCAGGCACACTGCACACACAGAACCGCCTTCCTACCCCGAGTGTGCAGCCACGCCTCCTCCCGGAACACCCTTCCCCTTCCTCTTCCTCCTCCACTTTCCCTTGTAGGTTTCTCCCACTTTGGCATGTGCACACACATGCGGGCATCCTGTCGCCAGCACAGTGTGGTGAGGCCGGGCATGGTATCTATGCTTCTTCCAGACCTAACTGGGCTCCTGCGCGCTGGGTACTGCTGGCCCCTGCTTCAGCCTCCCGTGCTGGGGATACAGGATTTCAGCTGCCAACTGGTACCTGCGGTGTTTGCCGCCTGGCCACTGACCCATGTTCAACCATGGTCCCGGCATGGTGTTGGGCTCAGCACCCCCAGGGGGAGATGCCCAATGGGTGGGGTGGTAGAAAGGCTTGGGCAGAAGGGAGGCAGTGTGGGCTCACCTTGGCGATCTGGTCAAACTTGCCAAAGAGCTCATTGAGCACAACCACCAGTTCCTTGGGGGAGCAGTCGCTGGCCAGGCGTGTGAAGCCCACGATGTCAGCATAGAGGATGCTGCGGGCAGGGCAGGTATGGCAGGTCATTAGAGCCAAGGCCTGGCAAGCATCCAGGACCCCCATCTGGGACAGTATAGGTGCTTCCAGCCATGATGGCAGATTAAAACTCAGAGACCCCATGTCCATGCAGGAGGAAGCAAATTTCCCATGGCCTTTGAGAGGCCCCGAGACCCCACCCGGCCCCCTCACTGGAGCTCTCACAGTCAGCTTAGCACTCCTCCTGCTTTGCATCCAAAATCTTGCCTTCAGCACAAACTAGCTCAGCACTCACATAGTCCCATTCTCCACATGTGCAGAGGCTCGGGGAGGGCAAGACTGGCCGGGGAGCGCAGAGCTGTCATTTAAAGCAGCTCCCTGGAGCATCCATGACTGGCCACCCAGATCAAGGACCCAGGGAGCTGACACCTAACTTGGGCCAGGGATTCAGGGAGAGTCAGTAGCCCCCTTGTCACGGGGACTGAGGAAAGGCATGGGGGTTCCACCTCTTGGTTGTGGGGTAGGGCGTGTGCCCCATCTAAGGCCATCTACAAGGACAATTCTCTGCCGACGGGCCTGGCTTGCTCCCACCAAGGTGCACCCGCCAGCATCCTCACGTCAGAACCCTGAGCTGGCCCGCCCACCCCTGGGGAGGGACGCAGGATTGCGGCCCACCTGACATTCTGATGACGCTTCACATAGAGGCTGTGGAAGTTGTTGTCAGGTGGGTAGCGGCGGTCCCTGTGCTCCTTGAGCCGCTCAATGATGGCCAGTTTCATGCCCATGGATATGTGCGCAGGCAGCACGGACAGTAGCAGGTTCTCCTGGCAGTGGGAGGGCGGGGCGGAGTCAGGCACGCCTCTCCTGCTCTGCCCAGCTCTCTGATCCACACCAACCTAGCTGGCCACATGGTCTCCCACATCTCCAGGTGCCCTGGAGTCTCGGCAGGGAGGGCATGGTGGAGTGACAGCCAGGGCCTCACCTGCTGGCGCTTCTCAATGCGCAGCTTCCGGCGGATCTGGATGCACTTGACCGTGTGGGTGAAGAGGTCCCGGGAGGCATCCTGCAGCTGGTGCTTGTGGAAGGCACCCGTGAGGTTGCCACACAGGAAGATGACAGCGTTGGCCAGAAGCTGTGGGTGGGCATTGGAACACACGTGGCCTGAACGCCCTCCCCGGGGGAGGGGGGTACTGGTAATGCACCACAACCCCCATCCCCCAAACCAGCCCACTCCCCACAGTTCAGGCTCAGCCCGTCAGCCCACCACACGTTACACACTGCATCTCTCACCTGCAGCCCCACCTGGGCGCTGGGCTTGGTGAAGACCTCCCTCACAGCACCCACCACCAGGAGGTGGGAGGCAGTGGAGATCACCCCCACAGCCACGGCCACCTGCATGCTGAAGGGCAGCAGCGTGTATACCACAAAGACCAGGAACAAGAAGAAGGGCACCTGGGGACAGGGTAGGGGGCTCAGCTCAGCTGCCGCGCAGGGACCTCCAGCCTCACAGCCACCCCTGGGTGCAGCGCTACATTCAGCCACAGACGAGCCACAGAAGTCAAGGCTCCCACAGGCTGAGTGCCCCTCTGGGGCTCAGGCCGAGCTGCTTGGCTCTCCCAGGTCCACCAATGGGCAGCCCTCCCCTCCCTCTGTCCAGAGGGCATCCCCTCATCCCGTTTCACCACCATTAGCCCAGCCTCATCCACCTAGGACTACACAGCTTAGATGATGCCACTGCTGGCCAGGTCAGTGTGACAGGGGCTGGGACACAAGCCAGTGCAGAGGGCTCTCGCTCTCACTCACTCTCTCTCTCTCCCCCTCCCTCCTCTCCCACCCGCTGGGGCAAGTTGAGCTAGAAGTTGAAGAACAGTATATGGCTTTTGTGGCCTCAGCCTATCAGCATGGAAAATGGACGGGAGAGCAGTCCAGGTCCCAGGCCAGTACACCAAGCCACAGCCTGTGCCGGCCGTGCAGACCCAGCGTGTATAACACACAGCTCCATGAGGGACCTGATGCCCACAGTGGGGCAGCGGGCTGGCAGTAGCCAGGGCCCAGGTACACCAGGGACCCCCACCCTGTTACCTGCTCCCACGCACAGGCCTCCTTCGTCCGTGAATCAAACACCAGCACGTAACCCAGCGTCATGAGGCAGGCCCAGGTGAGCAGCGCCACCGCCCTGAGCCACCGCCGGACGAGGCACTCGGCATATACCAGCACATAGATGGCCACAAACACGGCGAGTGTCAGGAAGGCCGTGGCCAGCAGGGCCTGGTGTTGAGCTGGATCCTGGTGGGGCAAGGCAGACACAGACAGGCCTGTTTTTCCCCAACAGAATACTACTTCCTCCAAGGAGCCCACCTGGGTTAGCCACTCTTGGCACCCTCTGCCACATGGCTGACACCCTTGTCAAACACTGGCTTCTTTCTTGGCCCCTGAGCTTTGCTGGCACTGTCTTCGGGGCCTCACCATCAGCCCCAACATCCACTCCATGCTGGGCTTGGCTGGCCTCCTCTCTCCTAGGTTCCCAGGCTCTTCTGTGCATGCCTGATTCCCTCCCAGGCAAGGAGGGAGCTCCTGACTCCGGAAGAACAACCAGAGGTTTGGGAGGGGATGTGAGAGCAGGTGCCCAGCAACTGGAACAAAGGCACAGAGGTACAGCAGGGGCCCCCCGCAGGCTCTGTGCCCCAAGACTGAGTGCCTGGCGATAGCTCCCTGCCTCTGCTCCCAACCTAGACCCCTGGTAATACACACCCTAGGGGGGTGGCAGATGATGGCCAGGCACCTGCCACCCACGGGGGAGATCCTGGCTTCTACCTGCCCAGGCCCACTGCCACAGGCATCTGGGGAGTGACCAGCAGATGGAAAAACTCCTCCCCGCCAGCACACCCCACTCACTCTGTCTTTCAAAGGAAAAATACATTTTTTAAACATGAAATATGCAGTCCCACAGTCTGACTAGTCACCATCTAGAGCCTGGCGGCCACACCCACACAGTGGCTGATACTAGGGGAAGGGGAGGACGGGTTAAGGAGCATTCTAGGAGGGGCAGGCAGCTGGTGGACCAAGCGCCTGGGTTTTGAGGCTTGCTCCCACTCTCAGCTTCCTGGCAAGCCTTCAGGCCTCTGCCACCCAAACAGGAGGCCTGGATGGAGGAGTTCCCAGCTCCTGGCCTAGCATCGGCCATCGTGAGTGTTTAGGGAGTGAATCAGTCGCTGCAGGAGCTATCTGTCGCTCCGACATCACAATAGTAAAGAAGACTTCTAGGAAAGGCTGCAGCCAGGACCCAGAGACGGCTGACTAGGAAAGCCAGTCTGGCTCAGTCAAGGGAAGTGGGGGTACACAGGGCCCCCCTGAGCAGTTCTGTCTTTGGGAGAGAAGCGGGGGAGGGCGGTCAAGTTTTCAGACAAAGCCATCTAAAACTACCCTCAGAGTTTTGAAATTGAATCCCAATGCAAACCCTACCTCGCACCAGCTCATGCATGTTTCACAGCACCACATAGCAGAAGCACGGAGGCTGAGATAGCCCAGCCAGCCCCAGCCTCCCCAGGGCAGGGACTCACCCCGTGGCTGAAGGCAAAGGCAACAAGGGTGAGGCAGGCGGCAGTGGCGGCCACCAGCAGGATGAGCAGCAGCGGCCCTTGCTGGCTGGTGAGGCGGTACTTCTCATAGAGTGCCACCTGGTCTGGGCCTTCCTCGCCCTCATTGAGGAAGTAGCGCCCCTTGGCTGGCATCTTCGGGCCCGAGCACACTGCTGCAGCCGCACCCTCAGGACAGCCCCTGGCCTGGGCGACATCTGATGGCCCACAGCATCCTCTGTGGGTCTAGGCTTCTGGCTTCAGGCTGGCTGGTGGAGCCAGGCAGGAGCCCCAGGGAACCGCAGCTCCATCGGTGGTGTGGGTCTTGGTCACCTCTTGCACCTCTGAGGCTGACGTCCCATCTGCCACAGTTGGGCTGAGCAAAGCTGTCTCAGTGCTGCAGAAACAAAGCAGACCCCAGTTTGTCCAGTGCCACCACCAGCCAAGCACACACGCACCCCACCAGGGTTGCAACATTTATCCCTGGAAGGAGGGAACTTGGGCCCCAAGGTTTTAGGTTACTGGTACTCAGAGGTTGGGGCTGAAATCCAGGGACGGTACTCAGAGGTGGGGTTCCAGAGGAGGCAATGACACAGGACTAGGTCATCGAGGAGCGCCCCCTGCAGAATCCCGGTGGCCTTACAGGACACATACACATTTCACCCATCTTTCAAAATGTGATGCCCAGCACCAACATGAGGCTCTGCCAGCAAGGCTGTCATTCTGAGATTGTGAGTCTCCAGTTCCAAGAGCCAAAATAAATACTCTGTTGAAAGTAAGGCTGCCCACCCACTAACAGGAGCTGGAACTGGGGCAGGTTGGAATGAGCCAGGCTGCAGCACTTGCTGGTGGGTGCTGAGGAGAGGTGAATCATGCCAGTCTAGGGGCAGTAGGTGCCAGGTCCATGAGCCCCAGGGGCTGGGAGGAGGGGCAGGCCTGGGTTGCCTGGCCCAGGTCCTTGGACCTGCCTGCAAGAACTGGTCCTCCTCAGTGAAAAGATGGAGCAGTAGACAGCAGGCTCTGAAACACATGGAGGATGTGGCATCCCATGGGGTCCTGCAGAGGACATCTGGTACCACAGCAGAGCAAGAACAGAACTGGACAACTACCCCAGTCAAATGATGACAACAAAAAATCTGGGTGAATGGAAACTCTGAGGTCAACTGTGTCAGCCAATGGACACTGGAAAAGTTTCCTCATCCTTGGATCGGGAAGATGGACAGCATTTCAGAACTATCAAAACCACTTGGGCAGAACCCTCAGAGCATGTACCACATTGGGACCCTGGGTTGATACCAGGTGGCTGTTCCCCATCCCCAGTTACTGGGGCAATTGGGAGGCTGGGTATGGCTTCTCTCTTTATCACCCCCCAGCCCCAGAAACAGGAAAAAGTAATAGAAAATTTAGAAACAATGATCATACTCACTTTTCCCTAACCCTGGATCCTTCCCACCCTGATCAACTACGTAAACATCATCAAAAATAAAAATTAAAAAAGATGTTAAGGTTGTCTCGGTCATTTCCTTATAGTAATAATTCAGCGATATAACATGGCATGTTAAGCCACCCATCCCATCCAAGAGCACCTGGCTTGAGTCCCAGCTGCTCCAATTCTAATCCAGCTCCCTACTAATACACCTGGGAAGGTAGCAGAGAAAGGTCCAAGTACAAGTACATGGGTCCCTGCCACCCATGTGAGAGACATGCTTCAGCCTAGTCTAGCCCCAACTATTAAGGTATTTGGGGAGTGAACCAGTGTCATTCCACTTTTCAAATGCATACATAAGTTAAAAAATGTTTTTTCCCCCCAATCAGTGCCCAGTACTGTGAGGACTCTCCTGCCCTGGAGCTCCTGATCCCTTTCCAGAAATTCCAAAAAGCAAAATGGAAAACCAGATATGACTGTGGGAGGTAATGGGCCACTTGCCAGGGCTCCAGCTACTTCTGTGCCCAAGCAGGTATCCACAGGTCTTGGTACCTATGGGACCAGGGGTAACCCACACAGGGGCTTCGACAGGCTGCAGATCTAATTTCAGTATAAAATGATCTTTCAACATGGGCAGCGAATTTGAAGAATTACTAGCCAGGGCCCAGCGGCATGGCCTAGCGGCTAAAGTCCTCGCCTTGAACGCGCCAGGATCCCATATGGTTCTATCCCGGCAGCCCCGCTTCCCATCCAGCGCCCTGCTTGTGGCCTGGGAAAGCAGTGGAGAACAGCCCAAAGCTTTGCGACCCTGCACCCGTGTGGGATACCCGGAGAAGGTTCCTGGTTCCCGGCTTCAGATGGGCGCAGCACCGGCCATTGCAGTCACTTGGGGAGTGAATCATCAGACGGAAGATCTTACTCTCTGTCTCTCCTCCTCTCTGTATATGTGACTTAGTAATAAAAATAAATAAATAAATCTTTAAAAAGAAACAAAAAAGAATTATTTAGCCTTGGGCCATCCTCCAGTGCTTTCTCAGGCCACAAGCAGAGAGCTAGACAGAAAGTGGAGCAGCCAGGACTCAAAACAACACCTACTTGGGATGCTATGCCACAGTGCCAGTCCTAATATTCAATTTTTAAGTAATGCTGCCCACTAGTTGGCAATCTCTAAGTCTATATTAACCTTTATTTAGTCTTTATTTCACAGGAGTCCAAGTTTCAGTGTTTACCATATATGCCCCGTACTGTGCTCCAGAGGTTTGAAAACAAGGTCCTTACAAGGTTTGCCCCGAGAGGCACCCGATCCAGGACACTCCTAAGAGGGCACTTCTTGGGGTGGGCTGTATGGCACAGTGGGTTAGAGAGCCACCAACAATGCTAGCGTCCCAGATGAAAGCTCTAGATAAGTGCCTACTGCTCTGTTTCCAACCCAGCTTCCTGCTACTGTGCCTGGGAAAGCAGCAGAGGATGGCTCAAGTGCCTAGGTCCTCACCACCCAACCTGGGAGACCTGGATGGAGTTCAAAGTGCCTGGCTTTGGTCTGACCCAGCCCTGGCCATTTTGACTCCTTAGAGAGTGAATCAGCAGATGGAAGATTTTTCTTTCTCTCCCCATCTCTGTCACTCTACCTTTCAAATAATACAATCAATTTAAAATTTTTTTAGGGTTTTTTTTTTTTCATTAAAAAAAATGTAAAGGGCTGCCTTGCGGACCCAGAATGATTGCTCAGTGGCTAAATCCCCACCTTGCATGCACTGGGATCCCATATGAGCATCAGTTCATGTCTCAGCTGCTCCACTTCCCACCCAGCTCCCTGCTTGTGGCCTTGAAAAGCAGTCAAGGACAGCCCAAAGCCTTGGGTCCCTGCACCCACCTGGGAGACTGTCACTGTCCTGCACCGATGGATTTAGTGCATGGAGCCGATAATAACAGGCATGGACTCTGATGGTCAAAGCCGAAGTTTATTAGTGGCATCAGACTTTATACACTGAAAAGTTCTTAGATTCCCACCACTTACCAAAACTTAGTCCAGAGGCAACAGAAGAATTAAATAAGCCCATTACCGAGGCAGAGATTGAAGCAGTCATCAAGGATCTCCCATCAAAGAAAAGCCCAGGCCCAGACGGTTTCACTACAGAATTCTACAAAACATTCCAAACAGAACTAACCCCAATCCTCTACAAACTCTTCAAAACAATAGAAAAGGAAGCAACCCTTCCAAATTCATTCTATGAAGCCAACATTACCTTAATCCCAAAACCGGATAGAGAACCATCAGAGAAGGAAAACTACAGACCTCTCTCTCTGATGAACATTGATGCTAAAATCCTCAACAAAATCCTAGCCAATAGAACCCAAAAAATCATCAGACAGATCATTCATCTGGATTAAGTAGGATTCATCCCTGGAATGCAGGGATGGTTCAACATTCAGAAATCCATAAATGTGATACACCACATCCAAAAACTGAAAAACAAGAACCACATGATAGTATCAATAGACGCAGAAAAAGCTTTCTACAAAATCCAACACCTCTTCATGCTAAAAACTCTAAACAAGGTAGGCATAGAAGGAAAAATCCACAACATAATCAAAGCAATTTATGAAAAACCAAACGCCAGCATCATACTGAATGGAGAAAAGCTAGAACCCTTCCCGCTGAGATCTGGAACAAGACAAGGATGCCCACTATCTCCACTGCTATTCAACATAGTCCTAGAGGTACTTGCAGAGGCCATAAGACAAGAAAAAGAAATCAAAGGCATACAAATAGGAAACGAAGAAGTCAAGCTTTCATTATATGCAGACGACATGATCCTATATAGAGAAAAACCAAGAGACTCAATACAAAAACTGCTAGAACTTATACGAGAGTTTGGCAGAGTGGCAGGGTACAAAATTAATGAACAAAAATCAACAGCCATAGTGTACACAAACAGTCCCAAGATGGAAAAAGATCTAACCAGCAATATACCATTCAAAATAACAGAGGAAAGTATGAAGTATCTGGGAATAAATCTAACCAAAAGTGTAGGAGATCTATTCAAAGAAAACTACAAACCACTTAAAAAAGAAATTGAACAAGACCTCAAAAGATGGAATAACATCCCATGCTCCTGGATAGGCAAAATCAATATCATTAAAATGTCTATACTACCACAAGCAATATATATTTTCAACGCAATTCCAATCAAATTGCCCAAAACATTCTTCACGGAACTGGACACAATGATTCAAAAGTTCATCTGGAAACACAAAAAACCACGAATAGCTAGAACCATCCTAAAGAACAAGAAGTTAGCAGGGGGAATCACAGTTCCAGACCTCTGGACATACTATAGAGCAGTGGTTATCAAAACAGCCTGGTACTGGCACAAAGATAGAGAGGAAGATCAGTGGAACAGAATAGAAACACCAAAAGGGAACCCACACAGATACAGCCAATTAATCTTTGACAAAAAGACCAACGACAGTCCAAGCAAATGGGAAGGCCTCTACAGTAAATGTTGTCAGGACAACTGGCTGATAGCTTGCAGAAACAAAAAGATAGACCCGCATCTCTCACCATACACTAAGATCCAATCTACGTGGATAAAAGACCTAAACCTACATCCAGAAACCTTCAAACTCTTGGAAGAAAATGTAGGAAATACCCTGCAAGACCTAGGAATAGGTCCTGACTTTCTAAGAAGGACACCAAAAGCAATAGCAGTTAAGAACAGAATAAACAAATGGGACCTCATCAAACTAAGAAGCTTCTGTACAGCAAGGGAAACAATCAGCAAAGTAAAAAAGCAACCCACAGAATGGGAGAGGATCTTTGCGCACTATGTAGGGGATAGAGGGCTAATCTCCAGGATATACAAAGAACTTCAAAACAACCAAAAAACCAAAACAAACAAGCCACTCAAGAAATGGGCACAGGAAATGGGCAAACATTTCACAAAGGAACAAGCCCAAATGGCAAACAA